AGACAGCAAACCCTCTACAGCAGAAAAGTTACATTGTACAACTTTAACAGGCTTACGCGTAAAGTGTATTTGTTAAATTCCAGTTTTCTCCCTGTTGTTTTGGAGGTGCCTATCCTGATTCTGTGGAGTAAGTGAAATGTTTACAGTGATTTTACCTCCCTGTACATTGTTTTAATATATTGTATTTTTAATTTATTTGCCCATAATCCTTATAAACTGTATTTTTGTATATTGTAAGCCTTTTGTAAAATCGTTCAAAGTTATTTATTTAGCGCCATGAAACGATGAGTTATGAGTTATTGTAGACTTGTGTGTATGTGAGTGTGTGGATTTCTATTGGTGTGATGTTGATACTTTGCAGCTCGTGTCATTAACATTCCCTGGGGGTGTGATGCTAACTGAAGGCATTGCTCTGTCTAACGCTGTATTTTTATTTTAATCTGACCGTAAAGTACAGATTTAGACAACAAGAGCTGATTTGGGCTGTTAAATCAGTCCCTCACGCATAAAATTACAGTCACAAGCTAGTTAGAAAACCCTTTCGAGAGCATGAATGTGTGCGTTGTGTCGCCACGGTAACTGCTGAACATCCCACCATTACATGTAAAACACCCCCAGCGTGATGTCACTGCAAAGTATCAATTGCTTTAAAACTATGGACCTAGTTTTAGTTTTTTCAAAGTGTTATATTAAATGGTTAAAAAGCACAAATATTTGGGAGTAAGAGAATGCTGCAGATTTGCCCTACATTTGTTGACTTTTGTTGAATAACACATGCATATCTAAGTGTGTCAGATGCCCTCCCGTCCCTCTAGTATTTGAATTGAGGCTGAACTAGGATCTACTATTACAATTATTATTTTCATTCACACATGTTTGACAGGGTAGCCACGGGGTCTTAAAAGTCTTAAAAAGTCTTAAATTATGTTGTCCAGGTCTTATTTTTTTCACAAAGGTCTTAAATTTTATTAGTCTGTTTTTTGTATACTCAACTGGGCTGCAGTGCAATGTGAAATGGAGGGAGGGGAAAAAACACAGCGTGAAATCATGCTCTTAGATTCTAGATATAGTCCGGTAGTTGGTTGGTCATGATTAGAATACATGTATCACAGATTTTGAACTTCTGGTCACTTGTGCAATGCATACTGGGAAGGATTTTCCAAAAAAGTGAGCATCAAACCACCATGTTTGATTTCCCAGTGGGATGGGTCTATTGACAAAGCCGATCTTTTCAAGTCTTTTGAACCATATTGCTTTTGTTTGTTTCATTAATTTTCATTTAAGTGGTCTTTAAAAGGTGTTAATAAGTTTTAAATTTTGAGGTAGTCAAACCTGGGGGTACACTGTTTGAGGAATCCTTTATTATTAGTCTGTCTACGTCGCCAAAACTCAAAATTTTCTATTCCACCTTGTGATGTCATAAACTGGTAGTTTTCAACTTAACAGCTACCTTTTGTTCAGTAGAGATTGGCATTTCAAATGATTCTAGTGAAGGTGCAGTTTAAAACAAGTGTTTCTGTTTCAGTCTAAAAATGCAGGGTCTTTGTTTTAAACATGTGTGAATGAAACAAAACACAACTCCTGGTCTGTTTGTGATGAGGAAACAACATTGAAATTTATGAAATTGAAAATCTAAATCTTTCCGTGGCATTTTGGGCATTCTCTTACATTTGGTCTTGTCTGCAGTCTCCCTTTAAATATCGTCTGTGCAAAGTTAGTTGGCTTCGCTTATCGGCTGATTTTAATCAGGATCCTTGTATTTTAGTTTACTTGTATTTTACAATCCCAGTGTTAAACTACTACCTCTTCTACCACTGGTACTACTGCCACTACTCAAACTAACATTACTACTACTTCTGCTACTGCAGCTAAATTAGGTATTACTACTACTACTACTACTACTAATGCTATTACTACTGCTACTGCTACTGCCACTACTACTATTACTAATGCTACTACTACTGCTACTGTCACTACTACTAGCAGTGTTGTGCAAGTTCACACTTTTCATGAACTAGTTCAAAGTTCAGTTCACACTTGTTCAAAGTGAATAGTTCACGTTCATAGTTCACAATTTTAATTTTGAACTAGTTCAAAGTTCAGTTCATTTTATATTTAGATGAGATCTGTAAATGAAAGGCTGCATTTATTTTTCAAACTGACTTCTAGTTTACAACAACTTTACAAGATACACTGTTGACAAGTGACTTTAAAAACTGTAATGTGTTATTTATGACTTGTTACTGTCATTTCAAAGTAATTTGTTACATTACAATATTACTGTATTTAAAATGTAAAACATTACACGACTATTGCAGCACTTTTAATTTACTCTCACCAAAATAACTGTTAAGATGCTGAACTTTTGCACCGTATATGGACTGAACCAGGACTGAACCAGACTAAACCAGGACTAAACCAGGTCTAAACCAGGACTAAACCAGAACTGAACCAGGTCTAAACCAGGTCTAAACCAGGACTAAACCAGAACTGAACCAGGTCTAAACCAGGACTAAACCAGGTCTATACCAGAACTGAACCAGGACTAAACCAGGACTGAACTAAACCAGGACTAAACCAGGTCTAAACCAGAACTGAACCAGGACTAAACCAGAACTGAACCAGGTCTAAACCAGGACTAAACCAGGTCTAAACCAGGTCTAAACCAGAACTGAACCAGGAATAAACCAGAACTGTGAACCAGGACTAACCAGGACTAAACCAGAACAGAACAGGACTGAACCAGGTCTAAATCAGGAATAAACCAAGACTAAACCAGAACTGAACCAGGACTAAACCAGGACTAATCCTGGACTAGAACTTGGAATCTAGGACCCTGAGAGAACCCCGAGTGATCGGGCGTCAGCTGCGTTTAGTTCGGTGGAGCGCGGACTTCTGCGTCGGTCCTTTCGCTCAGGATCAACGGTCTACACGAGCGCACCTCCGGCCTTTCACGCTGCTGATATCGCGGGCGGTGATTTTAGCAAATTTGTATGAAGAAAAACGAAAAACCCACCATTTCAATCCAGGTTAAAAAAGCATTGTGACGCGCGTTACTGACATATGTACCAAGTAAAATAATACGCGCGCGGAGCAGCACGTCCTGTGCGTGTAGATTTCAGAAAATAGGATCCATCCTATTTTTTGACGCTCTACACGTAGGCGCGTATCCCCGTCAAAATCCACAGAGAGCATGTATCTATTGTTGTATTTGTGCATTTACCATCAGCACATTGTGCTCCCTGGGCAGTTGTGGATCATGTGAAAGAGCCCAGATCCACATAGACTGTTAATTAGTGCTTTGAAATGTACTTTTGAAATCCTTGCGTTTGCCGTGGTCAGCCTGTACAGAAGGTAAATACAAGCAGCTAAACGCGCCCAGTCAAGTTTGATTGACTTCTCATTGAGAGACACAAGAGTCCGTACGTTCCGCTAAAGCTGCCGGTGGAGTCGCCTTCGCGTTGACACGCGGCTGTGGTTTCGTTAAGTGCGAGCAGATCGTCACTCGTCAGGTGAAAACAAATTCCGACGTTTAACTGAACCCCAACAGTGACGTACGTCGTTCATCACACATAATTTGAACAAATTCACGTTCAAGTTCTTGATTTACAAAAGTGTTGCGTTCAGTTCAAAGTTCACTGAAAAATGAACGTGTTCAATGAACGCGTTCTTTTGAACTCGTTCATACACAACACTGACTACTAGTACTACTACTGCTACTAATGCTCTTATTACTACTACTATTTCTATTACTACTACTACTACTACCTTTAGTACTAATGCTCTTACTACTACTACTATTACTATTACTACTACTACAACAACTACTACTACTAATGCTACTACTACTTGTATTACAACTGCCATTGCTATTGCTACTGCTACTACTACTACTACTACTAACTTTACTACTAATGCTATTACTACTACTACTACTATTACTACTACTACTACTACTTCTACTAATGCAACTACTACTATTATTACTACTATTACTACTGCTACTACAACTACAACAACTACTACTACATACAACAAAAGCCATCTGTGTTATTTTTGTCAGATATTTCTGCAGTTAGACAATCCCTTTATATGCATTATTTTGGTGTCTAAATAAATTCTGCCTTATGTATCGATCCTGGTGAGATGTGACGCCTGGAGGAGCTTCCTCTGAGCAAAAGTGTACTGAATAAAAGCAAAATATTGATCAAATAAACAGAAATACATTTTCTCTTATTTTGTGTGGCATCTATGTGACTACAAGCTTGTCTGACCAGATCACTATTTTCTGATCTCTGTTATAATGTTGTTTTCCTCATCGCAAACAGACCTGGAGTTGTGTTTTGTTTCATTCACACATGTTTAACACACAAACCCTACATATTTAGGCTGAGTTCTTCTCAAACAGAAAACACTTACACCTTGTGATGTCATGAGGTAATACCATACACTGTATAAAGAAGTATATAAACAGTCTATGGGTAATACAGGAAATACTCCACTGTGTTTTTAAACTTCAGTAGAATAATTTGGATCATTTCAGCCCTGGAATTGCCAATCTCTATTGAACTAATAGTAAAATGTAGCTTTTAACTTGAAAACTACCGATTCATGTTCATGACATCAAAAGGTGGAACAAACCATTTTGAGCTTTGGAGATGTAGACTGACTAATAATAAAGGGTAACTAAACATGTGTAAATGAAATAAAACATAACTCAAGGTATGTTTTTGTGGAGGCAACAACATTACTTAAAGATTATGAGAGTTAATTTTGAATGTAGAACCTTTAATATTTTATCAATCTGTGGTTCTGGCTGACCAAGTAAAATATATGCATACAATAACTATATATAAGGATAACTTCTATGCCTGAAAAGTACTGTATTTAATTCTATATAGTGTGTTGTAATTTTTTTTTCTTCTTTTTGCCTACTTTGAAATTAAATTAACTTTTTTTTTTTTTTTTTTTTGCCTTTTTTCTTGTGTTTTTCACGTTTTTGTTTTACTTTTCTACATAATTTTCTTTATTAAATGTATGCACAAATCGTAATCAGCAGAGGGCAGCATGTGACACGATTATATACGTTACACTACACCTCCCAGAATGCACTTTCCCGGAAGAACAACATCCGTCACATTTTGAACCAAACGAACAAGGGCTAACGTTGCTACAAACCCTGCAAAAACTTCAACAAACTCAGACATTTGAAGCTTTTTCTAACTGGATCTTTTCGTAATACTTTCGCGTGGTAAAGAAAGCTTTTCAGGGCATATTTTTGCACGTAGACGCATTTGTTGTGGACATGAATCTTACGGTGTTGTCATTTAGCGCTAGCATGCTAAGCTAGCTCATTCAAAAGAACACGTTAATATTTGGATAAAACTATGAATTAAATGCGGTTATTTCATTGCGACTTGGGACCTGTTTCTGCAAAGTTTTATCGGAGCAATTTATGACAAAAGTATACCTCAAAAATGAGTCTAGCCCCCAAAGAACTATCCAATCTTCTGAGTATTATTTCAGAGGAGGCGTGCACGAACACGTTTGAGAGTTTATCCACGCATTTTCACCATTATTTCGGGAAAGGGGAGCATTTCAGGGTCGGTTCGGTGCTGGTAATGCTTCTGCAGCAGCCGGATCTCTTGCCCAGCTCGGCCCAGCGTCTCACGGCTCTGTACCTGCTCTGGGAGATGTACCGGACCGAGCCCATGGCCGCTAACCCGTTCGCCGCTGTGTTTGCGCACCTGCTCAACCCTGCGCCACACGGAGAGGAGCACGAGAAAGTCCTGTCTGGTAAGTTATGGAGGTGAGGTGTTTTGGAGATTAAGTTTCAGTTTGGTCAACGTGCAGATGGACTGTAAACATATGGGACAGAGGAGGGAGAGTTTATTCTAGAACAGAGGTTGGAGAGGAGAGGGTCAGATAGAACCCTAAACAGTGAACAGTGTTTTCCATACATTTGGTTTAGATTGTTAAGTGGCTGGCTGCTTTTGTGGCTACCTGAATCACAGACTGAGCAGCTTTTGAGATCAGTTTTTAGCATCATATCATGAGATTTTAACCAACTAAGAAGTGCAGCATGTGCAATTCAGAGAGCACAAGAAAAGGGAGCGGTTGGATTTTGTGAAATGAGCTGCTGGTTTTTCCTATATCCATGGAGATCATGCAAGAGGGCAGCTGGGGAGCTGGCTATGGACATTAGACAGGCTTGTTACACCAAATGTGGCAGAGGATCATTGGAACACTTTGAGGGAATGGACCAAAACATCAGAGCGGAGTAAGAGTGAGCCCTTTCCTGTTTTGTTCCCCTGGTGCCCCCTAGACACTGGGATTCTGCAGGACACAGAGGAGGGACACTTTTAGTTCTTCCTCTCCTCAAATGCCCTAACACAGATCTGCTGGCCCTACTTGACCTGTCCTTCTGTTAAATTGCAGCAACATCAACTGCAACAGCTTGCAGCAGCAAAACTTGAATTTCCCTCGAGAGTAAATAAATACAGATAAAGTATCTGTCTGTCTGTCTGTCTGCATCAGTAAAGTCTCTCTTAAAAGTTTATGATAGTTTAGATTTAGTTTATTGGTCTTGTTTAACAGGGACCATGTGCAAACACATTAACGTTATAAAAGGACAGATGCTTTACACCAGATGTAGTTAAAACTAGTTACCATCTGTGGTTCCCGAACATATAATACTTTAAAATGCATCCAAATATCCACCCATTTGAAGTCAAACCATAGATTCTTCTTTTATTTTATTTCAAACCATCACACAACACATTTTACACATACTGTGATGTTCGAAGGTGGGCGAGGTACAAGGGAACAGGCATACATCTCTTTCGATACTTGTAATGTTTTCTCATTGTTCTGACAAATGTAAGCACCGTATGTCACTTTACTGCAAAATTTAAAATAAAGTTGAAGTAAATGATGATACAATGAGCAACAAAGTCTGATTTTGTTATCCCACTACAGTCCAGGTTGTTTTTAGACTGTGAGGCACCATAGTCCCCTGTATTAACACTGTGAGCAAAACAGTTAGAGTAAATCTCTGGATGTCCCTCGTGTCTTTGCAGGCTTCCTTCCACCCATCACGCAGGCGGAGAAGTTCTTCCTGTCTCAGCTGATGTTGGCTCCTCCTCGGGATCTATTTAAAAAGACGCCCAGACAGGTTTCATGTTTGGACGTGGGCACGGCGCCTCAGAGCATCGACATCAGTGGATTGCAGCTCGCCCTGGCAGGTCTGTGGAAAAAAAGAGTGACAGATTTTTAAAAGTCAGAAACAAGTATCAAGATTTCTTCATCTAAACCTGAATAGCTTTAAAATGATTTTGAGCTGGATCAGAATAATTTTACAATGGGAGTTAATATTCAGAGATTTACTGTCAGTTATCCACATCATAAAAGCAAAAGATCACACAATAAAAACCTGACATTACAACAGTTTAATGAATTACCCCTGTAACATTAGCTAGTTAAAGTAGACAAATAAAATACACAAATAAAGTAAACACTAAATCACTGTTACTCCTATGTTAAGGTAGATGATTTTGAACAGTAGTAAGTGTCTCTATTTCCTGTGTATTATTTCGTGCAGAGCGTCAGTCGGAGCTGCCCACTCAGAGCAAAGCCAGCTTCCCAAGTATCCTCAACGACCCCGACCCAGACTCGTCAAACTCTGGCTTCGACAGCTCAGTGGCCAATCAAATCATCGAGTCCTTGGTGACAGGACCACGCCCCCCGCTGGAGAGTAAGAGAACTGCATTTCTCACACACAAGCTGTTGTTAAGTTTGTTTTTTTCAAGTCGTAACTAGTGTACAGTAGTAAACAAACTGGAAACATGGTCATAAGCATTATGGTTGCTGGGTAACAGTTATGAAATTACCTCTACCTCTGCTGCCTGCATCTAACCAGGAAGTAAAATTATATAATAACTAGAAATAACCATAGATCTATAGTAAGAACTGGATGAGACACTTCCCCTCTGTTGGATTTTAGCTCCACTTTACCTGCATCGCTCTGATTGGTCAGAACTGTTCACACAGTGCACGTTTCTGATAAAGGTGGGAGGCGCTTGCTCGTACTGAGAAGGAAAAATAATTTTAAAATGTTGAATATAATAATTTTAAGTATAATTTAGTGAAATGAGTCTGGAAACTGAGTCTGGAAGCTTTCCGTTGACCCTTTTTATTTATCTGCAGGTCACTTTCGCCCTGAGCTGATCCGCCCTCCTCCTCCTCTGCACGTGTGCGAGGACGAGCTCGCGTGGCTCAACCCCACGGAGCCGGAACACAGCGTCCAGTGGGATCGCTCCATGTGTGTGAAGAACAGCACTGGTGTGGAAATCAAACGCATCATGGCCAAAGCCTTCAAGAGTCCCCTGTCAGCGCAGCAGCAGTCCCAGGTGAGGAGGGGGGGCATGGGGGGGTCATATTGATACTTTGCATACTTTCCAAAATAAGTTCTTTTGAGCTGACCTGTGTGTTGTTTACACATTTGTTTACACATTCTGCATCTTTCTTCAGAAGGATCACATGGATATGTATGTGTGTAGGCCTGTCACAATCACAAATTCTGAACCTAATAATACTGAAACTATGTTATTAGGTTCTTTTTTCAGACTGAGTTTGGTTTTCATACCTGACAGTTTGGACTGCTCCCTAACGCTCTTCCTCAGAGTGTCATGTGATGTTGCTGTGAAGTGTCCAGTCAGCTGATCTGTACAGGTTTTGGTGCTGTCTTCCTACCGGTTGAGGCAGGACGACAGCGCCATCTGCAGAGGGTAAAATAGCCACCTCGTCCCAGTTTATAGTCCTGCCGGCAATCGAAATATGTGCCCACGGGACTATAAACCAGGAAATCAGCTGACCAGACACATAGAGACCGTAGAGACCAGTCGAAACTATCAGGTATGAAAAACAAACCCTTGGTCTGAAAAAAGAATCTAATAACATACATTTTCGGAAGACCAAATGAAAATCATTGGAATACTGAAGTTATTTTATACCACTGACACAATAAAAATAAAGTATATCAGTAAATATAATCCCAGTAAACCATTAAAAAAATCAACAGTGTCAGTAAAAGGCATGAGTTACATCAAATAAATTGCTGGAAGACCCAATAATTACCTCCGCCAAGGAGGTTATGTTTTTGCCGGCATTTGTCTGTTTGTTTGTTTGTCTGTTAGCAACATAACTCAAAAAGTTATGGACCAATTTTGATGAAATTTTCAGGATTTTTTTGAAATGTGAAAAGGAAGAACTGATTTCATTTTGGGGATGATCCGGAAGAAATCCTGGATTCTGGATCACTTTGAAATTTTTGTTAACATTGTGGTAAATGGGGCCAAAAATTTTGTTTCTCAATATCTCGGTTAATTATTGACCAAACCCCATGAAATTTGACTCAGGGATGGACAATGGGATCCTCTTTCATATTCCAAAGGCTGATCCGGATCTGATCCAGAAGACTGATTTTATCGCAATTTATATAAAAAATGGGGGTAGTCCTTGGCCGAGGTCTGCGCTCTCTGAGTGCTTTTCTAGTTAGTCATAGAATTGACTTGATCAACTTTTTACAGCTCAGATCTTATCATTTTATAACAAAAATAACAAAAAATCTCTGCATTATTGCAAATACATTGTTCCAGCTTTCATATATTAAACGATAAGTCAATAAAGTAATTATCGTGATTATCGTGGCCTGTTAAAAATACCCAAATTTATTTGGAAATGGACCATGTGTTTGTCTGATTGGTTGATAAACCTGTCAGTCATGGCCGTCTCAAATTAGAGAGACAGGAAACAAAGTTTTGTCAAAGTGTGTGGTTCTAGCTGTTCTGTATTGATATTGACAGAAAAAAACAGCTTTCTTTCTCACATAAAAATTATTATATGTTTGTTTGTTTTTTTTGGTCGATGTTTAGCTTTGCTATGAAACAGGAGTGCGTTTGTTTAGCTCTTCACTGACCCAGAATGTGTGTGTGGTTCAGTTACTGGCTGAGCTGGAGAAGGACCCAAAGCTGGTGTACCACATCGGCCTGTCTCCCTCGAAGCTCCCCGACCTGGTGGAGAACAACCCTCTGGTCGCCATAGAGATGCTGCTCAAACTGATGCCGAGCAGTCAGATCACGGAGTACTTCTCTGTGCTCGTCAACATGGACATGTCTCTGCACAGCATGGAGGTCGTCAACAGGTAACACTCGCCTAACAGAGCCCCGTCCACACACAACCCAGAAAACCAGAGACATTTAGTACTTTTCTAGCAGTATACTTTTATTGCTGCTTGAATAATGTATTGTAGAGTGTAACTCATTCCTGATTGACCGTTTTGGTAACTCTTCCCACTATAAGTAAGTCTACAAGTGACAAAAGCTTTATGTGACAATATGAAATGAGTTGAGCATTTGTGTTGCTTGCAAATCACATTATAAACAACGATTCTTTCTTTTTTTTGTTTTAGACTAACTACAGCGGTGGATCTGCCTCCAGAGTTCATCCACCTGTACATCTCCAACTGCATCTCCACCTGTGAACAGATCAAGGACAAGTACATGCAGGTACGACCGAAGGTTTTACATAATGCAAAATTGACTGTTCTGAGCTTGAAGCCCTGTTATAATGCTGTTACCAAATAAAAAAACAATGTTTTCTTTCATTCACACACATTTGAGTAACTCTTTATTATCAGTCTGTTTACATCTCCAAAGCTCAAAATGCTCTGTTCCACCTTGTGTTTAAGTCACGGAAACGGCCATTATCTGTTTTTTCCATTCTTCATTTAAACACAAAATCTAAACCTGAAAAAACGAATCATCTGTTTTTTCATTTTGGTTTTGGAAACAAATAATGAAGAAAATAGTTGTTTTTTAAATTTTCTTATTTTTGGTTTTATATTGAAAAACGAATGGGCGATTGATTCACACGGATTCACTTCCTGTATTACCACATGACATCACAAGGTGGAACAGTGTTTTGTTTTTTGTTTTTTTGTTTTTTTGAGACTAAAGCCTAAATACGCAGGGTTTGTGTGTTCAACATGTGAATGAAACAAAACACAAATTGAGGTCTGTTTGTGATGAAGAAACAACATTAGAACATACATCAGAAAATCGTGTAATACTGACCCTTTAAGTTAAGAACCTTAAAAATCTAAATGCAGTGTTTTGTTGTTGTGTTTCAGAATCGTCTGGTGCGCCTCGTGTGCGTCTTTCTCCAGTCTTTGATCCGAAACAAAATCATAAACGTTCAGGATTTGTTCATCGAGGTTCAGGCGTTTTGTATCGAGTTCAGTCGGATCCGGGAGGCCGCGGGGCTCTTCAGACTCCTCAAGACACTGGACACTGGAGAGAGCCCCGCCGACGCCAAACCGCCCAAATAATAACAATAACACAACAAAAAAAACAGACTGTCCCCAATCCCCAACTAAACATGTACAAACGTCCCACGCCTCATCAAATAAACCTGTGCTTTTTAAAACCTGCTTTTCCCTTTTCCAATTAAATGTTTTGATTTCATTCATGATTCTCAGTTAAATTATGATGACGTCTGCTGTCTTTTTTGGTGGGAAAATATTAAATGAATGAACGTGCAGTTTACGAGGGTCTTAACAAATGTCCCGCTGATAAAATAAACCCCAGAATTATTTGATTTCGCTCTCAAACTTTAGTTAGGTAGGATAATAAATTCTCACAAATGTAATGACTGTGGAGCTTTTGTTTTGCTGTACTCAGTTCTCAAATAATTTTAAATGTGATATTATGTTTCACTAATTACAATGAAATGACTAGAATTACACTAAATCACAAGAACAAGTACAGGTTCAAAAATCTACGCAAAAAAAGTGCAATTACCAATAAAATCTACTTAATTACAAATTTGTTATTAGTTACTTTTCACCCCTAACTAACTCATATAATGACTCTGGAGTAGCTTAGTAGTTTCTCAATATTTGTTTTACTCTTATTTCTGTAATTCCTTGGACCACGAGTTAGCACTTTTACTTTATTTTTAAATTAACAGTACTTTTTTACTTACTTTACTTACTTTTTTGGGGCTACTACACCACCTCTGGTCACATTATGAAACACTTTTTCCCCTTTCTGAGAATTCTGGTGTAGTTTGAGTTTTTTCTTCAGGCCTTTTGTCACTCACTGGTTCAGTGTCAGATTCATGTTGAGGCAGGGAGCTTTGTGGTTTGAGCTTTCTCTGAAACATCTCAAGTAGAACGAAGATATGTGAAAATATCTTTATCAAAAATATTCAAACACAAAAACAGCAACAACAATGCTGATAATCTTCAATTCAGAGTTTGATGAAGAAATATTTATAATAAAGTTGTTACACTACACTACATTCAGGATTTATTTTTCTCAACAAGTGTGTTGTAAATACTAGAGTTCATGCAACAATCAAACTGGGATTCAGGAGCTGAAATTGAACCTGGTTTGGAACTCAAAAGTTCAAACTCTTGCACAAAAAATGCTGCTTCAAAAGTTCTATCCATGGGTGAGTATCTGCCTCAGAAAAAGTAAATCAGTGAAATGATTCCAAACCACATGTGGAGCGTCTGTCTGTGTGTGTGTCAGGCTCTGAACAGACAGCTTCATCATCAGCAGCACTGCTTACTCCAGAACTCTTGAGGTTTATGTAACCATTTTTGTCTTTAGTGTCTTTTTGTCCTGATTCAGCCACACATTATGAACTTTATGAATATTTTTTGTTTCACTTTGCCAATGTTGAGATATAGAATGAGTTATAATATAGCAACTGTTTTCGTTATGCAATAGCCTAGAAGAATATCAAATATATCTGTGTCGAGAACACTTCAACTTTCCCCACTTTCCCTACTCAAGTTTCCACTTGAGTAGGAAAATAAATCTGTTTACTGTATTGTCAGTTAGGCCTATTCATATTTTTGTATCTATGATACTAATGCCCAAATTCCTCCGAAACATTCAGTTAGCCACTCTCACCTTTTGTTGAAAATCAAACTCCTAAAGTAGGGTGACTAGACCCCATTCCCTATTTCCTCGGGACAGTCCCAGTTTTGAGCCCTGTGTCCCCTGTCCTGTCCCAGCAGATTTATACAAAACCAGTGATTTGTCCCAGTTTTAGACAAGAAATGTCCCAGGTATACCTATTTCTGACCAGTTTGATACATGGTCATTTGTTTAAGTAAAATACAGAAAAGCTGCTTAAAAATGACTAAAATGAAAGACAAACAGAGAAGGTGACTAAACTGACTCACATGTTCGTCATGAATGGACCAAGTGCAGAACTATTTTTCTTAATTACACACTCATTTCACGGTTTTATTATTACCAAATACCACAGCTGGGGACTGGGGAGTCCCAGTTTTTGATTTAGAAAATCTGGTCACACCATCCTAAACAGGACCATGACCACAGTGTTTTCTCTTTTCAGTTTTCAGATGATCTAAAACTGTTTTTGGTTGTGTTTACTTATGTGTGCATTGTGTCGACATGGTAACTTCTATTCCTCCATACACATACATGTAGAACACCCCCATGATGTTACTGCAAAGTATCAAAAGATAAACTTCATCAACAAAAATGAACAGATTGTATTTTGTCCATTTTATGTTGGAGTAAATTAGATGTCCATAGATTTCAGAATTATGACAAATTCGGACTGTTGCCCTAGAATGAATGTATAAGTAAAGAAGAACTTCAGACCACTGCAGACCACTGAGAATTAACTAGTTTTTTCCAGATTTTTATTAAAAAATGAAAATAATTCAAGAGCCAACAACAACTGCCAACTGAAAATGTAATGTGATTTTAAATGTATATTCTGTTTAAGCAACTGTATCATATTATAGAGCTGTGTAACAAAAAGTCCCTAATTTACTTCACAAATGGCAACTTTTTTTCTTTAAGATTTCCATTTTTACATTTCATTTTCCAGTATTTTATTATCCAAGAAATGTGTATCTAGTCACAGAAGTTACGTTACACTGAAGTATCAGGCTTGAAATAAAACAAAACTCAGACTTAAAGAGGGGGTATTCTGCAAAATCGATCTTTCTACCATGTTATATAATGTTGTTCCGTTATTAAAACACGCCTGAAGAGGTTTTATACATTATCCATGCATGTTTGAATAATTTAGCAATCTCTCCCAGGCCCTATTCAAACCATTCTGTCCAATGCTCCGCCCACAAACGTACGACAATTTTCATAAATATACAAACGCAGGATTCAAAACCGTACACAATAACTATGAGATGTGAAGTAGTTTCATGCACGCTTGATTATAATGTGATAGAGCTCTGAAGGGGGAGTGGCTTAGTACAGAGAGCAAAGGAGGGAAGAGTCATAGCGTCAAAAGCAAAACGTTTTAATACCGTATTTTCCGCACTATAGAGCGCTCTGGATTATAAGGCGCACTGTCATTGAATGGTCTATTTTCAAACTTTTTTCACATATAAACCACACTGGACTATAAGGCGCATTAAACGAAACACAACAGTTAGATAAGTCAGTCAAACTTTATTTAACGTGCTCACAATAACTCTCAACTTTGTTGCCCACATCCCTCTCTGAGTCAGTGTGGTTACTGTTCCCTGCAGTTCAGTGATGATTCTGGTGTTGGTGAAAGCTCGGACCACAGTTGATACTGATCCTTAGCCCAGGCGTCTACGATCCGTTGGCAGATCGTGGCGTAAGTGGCTCGGCGCTGTCTCTCTCTCTCTTGGTGAAGGTGTGTTCTCCTTCTCTCATCCACTGCTCCCACACAGCTCACACTTTCACTTTAGAACAGCCTTGAGTTTAAAGTGGGCGTTGTGAGCGTGTCTCTTAACAGGTGCATTTTGATATTAAAAGGAATCACAGTATGTATTACTCCTGATGCTCCTGACTACGGGAGCTGTAATGCTGCAAGTGGTGCGGCTTTGTAGTTTACTAAAGTCGTAGTAAGACACCCGAACTAAGACCCAAATAAATTCATATACAAGGCTCTCTGGATTATAAGGCGCACAGTCGTTTTTTGATGAGCTTTTAAATGCGCCCTATAGTGCGGAAAATACGGTATGTTGTTTTCGGATATAGCATTTTCAAAACAGTAAAAGGTAACATGGTGATCGAAAACAAGTTATGAGTTAACTATTAATACCCCCTCTTTAAAAAGTTAAAACTAGGCCTAAAACCTAAACCTAAAACATGACAAAAACCAGGACGAAACACAGGACTAAACAATGACTAAAACCAAATTAAATCTACAACAGGACTAATCCAGGACTAAACCAGAATTAAACCAGAACTAAACCAGGACTAAACCAGGATGAAAACAGGACTAAAACAGATAACTTCTCTGGATTATAAGGCGCGCAGTCGTTTTTTTGATGAAATTAAAGGCTTTTAAGTGTGCCCCATAGTACGGAAAATACGGTACGTTGTTTTGGGCGAATATAGCATTTTCAAAACAATAAAAGGTAACATGGTGATTGAAACAAGTTAAAGAGTTGAGCTGTTAATACCCCCTCTATAAAAAGCTCTAAATCTTGACCTAAACCAGGACGTGTGGCTCCATAGCGCCCCCTCTCTGCTCGTGTATGCTCTTGTGTATCTGCTGTTGCCACGTTGTTGCGTATTTCTCCTCTCCTCTTCTCCTCTTCTTTTTTGTTTGTTTTTTTATGCGCCTTTGTATCCTCGCGCCATCAGGCAAGCGAAGACCGTCATCACCATTTTGGGTTTGACCTCCACCAGATCTTCGGGCAGAGCGTAGACGCGAGCGCCGATCTTCCTCGCCATTGAAATCGCGTATCTGCAAGCGACAGAACACACATTTAGGTATTTTTAACATTATAGGCGAATGTTTGTGATGAAGAAACATTACAACAGATCAGAAAATAGTTTAACGTGGGCCTTTTAAGAGAGACGTACTTTGCGTTGTTGAGTTTCTCTTCCTCCGTCAGGTCCTCTGTCTTCAGGAGGTCGTACCGGATCGAACCAGGTCTGATGGCGTCGATGAGATCCAACACGGGAATACTGCTGCTGATCACCGGGTCCTGTAGAGAGAAACACAGGGAATCGAACCCACAACCTCCAACTGAGACGAGGAGACAGGGTAACTGCTCCGTCACAGTAATAAAGGAAGAAACAAGGACTAAACCAGGACTAAACCTAAACCAGGACTAAACCTAAACCTAAACAAGGACTAAACCAGGACTAAACCTAAACCAGGACTAAACCTAAACCTAAACCAGGACTAAACCTAAACCTTAAACATGACTAAACCAGGACAAAACCTAAACCTAAATCAGGACTAAACCAGGACTAAAACCAAATGAAATCTAAAACAGGACTAAACCAGGACTAAACCTAAACCTTAAACATGACTAAACCAGGACTAAACCAAGACTAAACCAGGACTAAACCAGGACTAAACCAAGACTAAACTAGAAAAGCAGTCAGAGAGCGCAGACCTCCGCCAAGGACTACCCCCATTTTTTATATAAATTGCGATAAAATCAGTCTTCTGGATCAGATCCGGATCAGCCTTTGGAATATGAAAGAGGATCCCATTGTCCATCCCTGAGTCAAATTTCATGGGGTTTGGTCAATAATTAATCGAGATATTGAGAAACAAAATTTTTGGCCCCATTTACCACAATGTTAACTAAAATTTCAAAGTGATCCAGAATCCAGGATTTCTTCCGGATCACCCCCAAAATGAAATCATTTCTTCCTTTTCACATTTCCAAAAAATCCTGAAAATGTCATCAAAATCGGTCCATAACTTTTTGAGTTATGTTGCTAACAGACAAACAAACAGACAAATGCCGGCAAAAACATAACCTCCTTGGCGGAGGTAACCAGGACTAAACCAGGACTAAACCAGGACTAAACCAGGACTAAACCAGGACTACCTGAAACATGACTAAACCAGGACGGCACAGTCTAAACCAGAACTAAAACCAAATTGAACCTAAAACACAGACTAAACCAGAACTAAACCAGGACTAAACAGAGACAAAACCAGGTATAAACTAAGATCAAAACAGGACTAAAACAGGATTAAAACAAGACAAAACCAGGACTAAAACCTAAAATATGACAAATCGAGGACTAAAACCAAATTAAAACAGCACTAATCGCAGATTAAGACCAGGACTAAACTGAGATGAAATCAGGAATAAACCCGGATGAAAACAGGACAAAACTAGGACTAAACAGGGACAAAACACAGTCTAAACCAGAATTAAAACCAAATTACACTTAAAGCACATAAAGACAAAACCAGTAATAAACCGAGACTAAACCAGGACTAAAATCTAAACCTAAAACATGACTAAACCAGGACTAAAACCAAATTAAACAAGGACTAAACCAGAACTAAAACCAAATTAAATTTAAAGCAGGACTAAACCAGGACTAAACCGAGACTAAACCGAGACTAAACCAGGTATAAACCAGAATGAAAACAGGACTAAAACATGACAAAACCAGGACCAAACCAGAACTAAACCAGGATGAAAACAGGATGAAACAAGGACTAAACCAGAACTAAAACCAAATCTAAATCAAACCAAACCAAGACGAATATGGTCTCACATAAAACCAGGAATAAACCAGAACTAAATCAATAAGGACTAAAACTTATTAAAGAGGGAATAAACAAGAACTAAACAAGTACTAAACAGCTCTCCACTCACAGACCAGGAGTCTAACCCACAGCCTCGTCACTGAGAGGAGCAGACAGGATGTACACTGTACCTTGAAGCTGGAGATGGTTGGTTTCTCAGCCTGGGTCAGAGTTTGATTGACCCAAGAAACAATCGTATCATCGTTCACCTTCTGCCCATCGCCCAGGTCCTCCAACATGTTCAGAGTGTATCTGAGGGGAAAGACACATCATGTGAAAAGTGAATAATGACCAAACCAGGACTAAACCAGGACCAAACCAGGACCAAACCAGGACCAAACCAGGACCAAACCAGGACTAAACCAGGACCAAACCAGGACCAAACCAGGACTAAACCAGGACCAAACCAGGACCAAACCAGGACTAAACCAGGACTAAACCAGGACCAAACCAGGACTAAACCAGGACTAAACCAGGATTAAACCAGGACCAAACCAGGACTAAACCAGGACCAAACCAGGACTAAACCAGGATTAAACCAGGACTAAACCAGGATTAAACTAAACCAGGACTAAACCAGGATTAAACCAGGACCAAACCAGGACTAAATCAAGACTTAACCAGGACCAAACCAGGACTAAATAAAGACTAAATCAAGACTAAACCAGGACTAAACAGAGACTAAACCTGGATGAAACCAGGACTAAACCAGGATTAAACTATGATGAAACCAGGACAAAACTAAGACTAAAACAGGACTAAACCAGGATTAAACTAGGATGAAAACAGGACTACAACTGGAAAAAAATGGACTAAATTGGGACTAAACAAGTACTAAACCGGGACTAAGCCAAGACTAAACCAGGAACTGGGACTAAACCAGGAACAGGGTCTAAACTAGGACTAAATCAAGACTAAAATATGACTAAAACAGGATTAAACCAGGATGAAAACAGGACTACAACTGGAAAAAACTGGACTAAACCAGGACTAAACCAAGACTAAAACAAGACTAAAACAGGATTAAACTAGGATGAAAACAGGACTACAACGGGAAAAAACTGGACTAAACCAGGACTAAACAAGTACTAAGCTGGGTCTAAACCAGGAACTAAACCAGTACTAAATCAAGACTAAAACAAGATTAAACTAAGATGAAAACAGGACTACTGGAAAAAAAACTGGACTAAATCAGGACTAAAGAAGTACTAAACCGGGACTAAGCCAAGACTAAACAAGGAACTGGGACTAAACCAGGACAAAACCAAGTCTAAACCAAGACTAAATCAAGACTAAAACAGGACTAAAGTGGAATTAAAACAGGATGAAAACAAGACTACAACGGGAAAAAAATTTGACTAAAACAGGACTAAGACAAGACTAAACCAAAGACTGGGACTAAACCAGGACAAAACCAGATCTAAATGACACTAAACCAAGTCTAAACCAAGACTAAATCAAGACCAAAACAGGACTAAAACAGGACTAAAGTGGAATTAAAACAGGATGAAAACAGGACAACAGGAAAAACTGGACTAAACCAAAACTAAATAAGTACTAAACTAGGACTAAGCTGAGACTAAACCAAAGACTGGGACTAAACCAGGACTAAACCAGGTCTAAACCAGGACTAAATCAAGCCTAAAACAAGCCTAAAACAGGATTAAACCAGGATGAAAACAGGACTACAAAGGGAAAAAACTGGACCAAACTAAAACTAAACAAGGGACCAAGCTTGGACTCAATCAGGACTAAACCAGGATTTATAGAACTAAACCAGGATAGGACTAAACCAGGATTAAAACAGACATAACCAAGACTAACTGACCACGTCTCTGTTACCTCCTCATGAGTTGCCAGAGCAGTGCGAGGGTAAGGGTTCGATTCCCGGCGTTCAGGTCCTGTCCTGCGATTCCCACCAGAGAGAACTTGGCCTCCTTCTTCCCCAGCTCCACCGCGTAGTTACAGTTCTCCAGCTACAACAACAATAAGACCATTTCCATTAGATTTGACATTTGTGTTTTCAAATTTTCAAAGTTTTCAACACATCCGGGAGCAGTAAAAACACTGTACCTGATTTTTACTCTCTTAAAAACTGAAATAGTTGATTTTAAACGGGTTGTTGTGGTCCAGAGTTATTCTTGCTATGCTATTCTGACAACAAAACACTTTATAAGAAGATGCAAACAGTACACAGCTGACTTATTTTGAGATGCTTATAATATATCTGTTCTGGGGCAAGACACACTTTGCTCAAATCCATGGAAAAAATCTGGCTAAAGGGCCAATATATAATGTAATCAATCTAATCTAATCTGTAATCAATCTAATCAAATCTGTCTCTTGCCCCTCTCTGGGAGTATGGCAGCTTCACATTCTATAATCAATAATATATAAATGACCATCATATTTTATTTGATACATTTTGTTCCTTATTTTCCGGAGCGTACCTTCTTCATGTTGCTGCCGAGTTTGGAGTAGGGGGGTTTGTTGACCCTGTCCCAGTCCACGGGAACTTTAATCTGCTCGTACAGTTGGAAGATCACCAGGGCGTCGTCTATGTCTCTGGAATAAACGGAAGAAAAGGAAATCAAGTCAACGGACTGTTCATATCCATAAAAGCCTTTTGTTATAATTTTTTATTCTTTTGGTGGTATAGTACACGTGGTAAATGTTTATCATACATTGCAGGTTTCTCTCTGTGTCTGGTTGAGTTAAACTTGGAGCTGGACAGGTCAAAACTGCCACATTACAAATGAGTTGATCTGGTTTATGATTAATATGTCAGTAATTACTGGGCCTATGCCGTAGACTGTTTAAAGAAGTGGAGTAACCACAGTGTGGGTCTATGCTACTCAACATCTGTTCAGCTTACAGTGTGGAGCAAGATATAAAGTTTAATACAACCATGTTGTATTGACTATTAAAACAATATTAATAACATATCTTGGGCAGATTGTCACTGCAGACATGACAGATAATGATGATCTGTATAGACAGTGTAGGATGCTCTATGCTCAGGCAAATCCTCTTATGTGTAAGTTTATTTCTTGTACAAATGATGTAAAGTTGTTATTGTTTAAATCATATTGTACACCGTTGTACACAGCCCACCTCTGGATTAAATATAAAAAAGACAGTTCAGCATAGACTGCAGGTGCCTACAATGACACTTTGGAGGAGGCCACGATGGCCGAGTGCAACGTTGATGTTTTTTACTGCATGAGTCAACACTTTGCAAGCTGCACTAAAAATTTTAATGTACAGTTTTATTTGCAGGCTGAATAAATCGGCCAAAGAAATAATAATGTCACTCAATTATTAGATTCAGTGCAATAATGTGGTACACCAATATGTGGACACACTGATACGGTTGTTTTAAAAACATATATGTTTGGTGTAATGTTGTAATGTCACAGTCCTTGTCTGTTTTAAAAATGGACCATGAGTCCAGAATAAAGATGAACCAATCTATGCAACTCTAGCTTTAATTGTCCAATTGAAACCAATCAAGGTTAGAGTGACCCCTGACCTCCATGACAGATTCTGACATGATGAGCGGGCGCAGGACAGGTAAGTGAAGGTGTAAAGAGCAGGTTCTCACGTGTACAGGTGGTTGACTCGAGGGTTGACTCCCAGTGAATTCATCCAGTTTCTGAAAGTGCGCTCCTCCCTCGTCTCCCCTGCAACAACAACAATAGATTAATCATGTCTTATAATGTTTTGTGATTCCTGTTGTTGATGACACATATTTTTAAAAATAGCACAATATGGGCCCTTTAATCAATAAGAAACAATCATCTGGGAATTTGAAAATATTAATCGGAAAACCACCAATCGCTTAGGAAAGGCAGGCAATGTTATGGTTTTTCTTCCTCTTCTCACCCTCGAAGGAGCTCCAGTCGATGTCCTGGTTCTCGGGTTTCTTGAGGGCTGGGTACTTGTTGAACAGATTGGCCACAAAGGCTAAGTTGAGTTTGGGGTTTCCTCGCACAACATCAGGGGGCATCACAAACTGTCTGCAGCCCAAACGATCGGCCTGGTCCAACATCAGCTCTGCTCGCTTCAGGTCGTCCTTCTCCTGCACACAGACAGGGGGAGCTAGTGAGATACAAGTCAATTTGTTTTTGTATCACAGTCAGAACAGCTGTCACTTTGCAGAGCTTCACAAACTGTTGATTTAACAGAAAGTTAGAAAATCAAATAGTGAAACAATCATTGGTGAAAAACAGAAAGAGAGAAGTGCAGTATGACAGGTTGGACTTCTCATCTGACTAAAACACACTTAAGATTATTATAGTTAAGATTTTGCAAACATTTGTAAACGTTTCTCTACAGATTCTCTCTGTGACATCACTTTAGGACATTTTGCCCAAAGACTTGGTTGGGACCCACAGGTGGGTGGCAAGAGATTTTTTTTTTTTGGGTTGCCTTGTCACGATCTGCATGTAGGTCTGCAATATACAGTTGTATACATGAATCTGTCACCTTGTCATTCTGGTTAAGAATATCCTGTCCTCAGTATGGCCAGTGTTTCTGTGCCTTTCACTAGTAGCCAGGCTGGCACCACCTAGTGCCTCCGCTCAATTTCATTTCAACCCCAGAAATGGAGTTCGGGCACCAGCCAATCAGCGAAGAGCCATACATTCTGTGTTGGCAACAGTTCCCGAAATCAAGGATTTAAAGCCGAAACAAAGAGAATATTTGGTGAATTTTATTAAGGGGAAAGGTGTTATAGTCCTTCTTCCTACGAGATTTGGGAAAAGCTTAATATACCAGTTAGCCCCGTTAGCGGTGCATTACATACTTCACGACCAAATAGCAGTGATTGGTTAAATGAAAAAACATACCTGCCTACTGTTGAGCGAACAAATTCTAATGCTGCTAGGTCAGACGGTTTCCACAAGTGAAACCAGCTGATGAATCAGATTATTTCACTACTTCATACATGTGTGAACTAGGATTTTCTGTGCACACAAAAATTCAGACAAAGCACAGAAACAGACTGAATGCTGCGCCTGATGTGTGTGTTGCGCTCTCCTCCTTTAACCCCGACTGGAACATGCTACAAAAATGCAGACAGGCCCACATATTGCAACACATATTGCTGTTTCAATTGAATGTTGAAAAGAAAAAGAAATGTTCTACATTTAATGTCCAAATAGGCGACTTATTGATCCTTTTGTTGTTACTTCAGTGTTTTGAGTAATACTAATTGTTCAGAGACACGATCACTCAGTCAGCAATAAAATTTCCTCATTAATGTTCAATAATGGTCAAATCCAACTTTATTTTGGAATTTACGAATAATGTCTATTGACTTGGGTCACGATGATTTGTGACTTTTGAAATATAGGTCCAAAATGTGTTTATGTGAAAATTGAGTTTTAACTTTTGGATAAAAATCTGCCTAGTGTGAAATCATCAATATGGAACTCTCTAAAATAGAACTCTGCACTTGCTGTAATTTACAACACAATTTTCTACTTTTTTTCACAAATTGCTTCTTGATTTGTGCAAAACTATCATTTATATTTACAACAGTTATTCTTGTCAATATAAATGCTCTTCACACTCATCAGAAAAGTTACATAGTGCACCTTTAAGTCAACACTAGAGTTGCAGAGGACCTTAATTACCAGCAGAGGGAGCTCAGGTAGCACAGTTTGACAATCACTGGCTCATACTTGGTCACGTGTATTGAGATAGATTAGAAGATATTGATCATTGCATACTGATGGCATTGATACAGATTTTAGAATATATTTTGGTGGTTTGAGAGTTTACCCTGAGCCCGGACATGTCGATGGTGATGGGGGGCACTCCGTCCTCGTCACCTTTAGGAGACACCTGGTTCAGCAGGTTGTAGTACGCCTTTGAGTCCTGGAACACAACAACACAACAAGAGATGTTCATAAATTTATAATGCGTTCGACTGATATTGATCGTGTGCAGTTACATCACGCTGGAGGGCTCTGCATGTATGTCTTTGGCAGAATATTCAGCAGTGTGACTAACTGAAAAGTTGGTGAATGCTAACCAGCTTGGGCCTGTAATGTTATTTGGGAGGGACTTGTTTAAACAGCACAAATCAGCTAAACTGTTTGACATTTATTTACTGTCAGATTGAATTAAAATGAAAGTCTAACTTGAAAAACAGCTTCAGACACTGCAAGTTTCATTGAACTTTGATGCAGAAACTTTTAACCCTCTCCAGGCAGATGTTGCAGATTTGCAACAGCTAAATTCCAATTACCTACTTATTCTAAATCCATATTTTATGAGCTTTTTTTACTCAGGAACCTTTTTTCCCATCCATGCTGATAAACGTGGGCGATGCAGACTGTGCAAGAACGGCTACACACAAACGGCCTGCCAGAAGTGCAAAATACTTTTTTTGTTTACAAAGGATAAAAAAGTCAGGATTGTATATTACTGCCCCATATTATAATTTTCCCCAAATATCAGATTTTTCCTGATACTAAAAAGTTAATTTGAGCCTGAAAGGGTTAATACCAGATCTCATTGTGGGACCAGTAGTATTAAGCAGGCACCGTTAGCAGTGTTAATAGATTAGAAAGCACCACCCTCCTCATATTTTTTTATTATTTTATATAAGATTTGTATAAGGGAAATTTTATCTTTTATATTTAATGTACACAAGAATCAAATAAGATCTTAGACAGGAGACATGCTGGGGACGCGCGGGTGAAGACAACTCAGTTACAATTAGGCCTCGCAGGTCTTATAGTGTGAATAGTGTGGTCATAGATGTGTCTCTTATGTTTCAGGTGAGAAATGAGTGAATTAAGTTAAGTTTTCTTTTTGATAAATATATTTTTGAAATGTAAAAGCGTCCTATGTGGTGTGAACTAATTGTAAAGTGTGCCTGGATGTGAATAGCGTGATCATAGATGTATCTCTTGTGTTTCAGGTGACAAATGACCATTTAATAGAATACAATAGAATAGAAAGCCTTTATTGTCATTACACAGTATAATGAAATTCAGAGCTGCTCCTTCAAGTGCAAGAATTAATAATAAATAAAACAAAAAATTAACAGTTTTCATTCAGTATGGTGACAGCTTTGGGGAAGAAGCTGTCCCTGAGTGTTTATTGTCTTTAATTATTTATTTTTATGTTATTATTTATATATTTAAGTTAATTAAGTTAAGTTTTCTCTTTGATAAATATATTTTTTGAAATGTAAAAGCGTCCTATGTGGTGTGAACTAATTATAAAGTGTGCCTGGACGTGAATAACGTGGTCATAGATGTGTCTCTTGTGTTTCAGTGAGTACGGCAATAAATGAAAGTAAACATACACTCTCTGAAGCCTCTTTATCCGTCCACAAGTGCTATGTCATGATTGTCCACGGCTAAAAACTGTCTGCTGTAGAACTGGGAAAAAAGCTTTCAGTTATTTTGCTTCCCAAAAACTGAATATATTTCAAGGACATGCAAAAGTGGATATGCTGGTGTCACCACTGCATTCAAATAATCTGGTTATAATCACACCTGCTCCTGTTTTTAATGTTTAATTGGACCTATGCAGTTATTTGTTTAGTTTGTTTTAGGGTATTGTCCTGTGTTTTAACAGGGTGCTCATGAAAAAAGGGTCTGGCACTCTCATTGGGCTCTCCCTGTATAAACCAAGATACATGAAAAAAAAAAAGAAAGTATCTATAGAGCCTTTCCAAATCAACAAAGCACTTTGCAGAGCATTCAGAGGTGGTAAGGCACTGCTGCAGACTAACCGACATGAGGCTTCAATCTGCACCATCAGCCGCTCTAACCACCACTAACACTCCTGCACACACCGCTTTCACACCACATGAAGGAGGTGGTGGGTGATGTGGGTGAAGTGCCTTGCCTAAGGACACAAGGATCTCGCTGTGAAGTCTGACCCAAAATTGGATTAGACCGGGCACTGGTAAGCAGATATGGCCACAATAAAGGACTCAGTTATCCTTGTACCTTATATATAAGAGCTGAGGAGGTAATGGTATTAAAAGGACAGTTCGGAATTTTGGACATAGACCTCATTTCCTAGTGAGCCAGAGTGTTGGAGATGCGTGGAAACACTTTTTAAAAAAAATATTCCATCCAGTCCTTGTATTTACAGAGGGCACTGGTGTTAGGCTAGTGCATGTCAATGGCCATAGTTAGCCTGCTACTAAAAACAGTCTTACCCACTCCACAAAACACCCGAAGCAAAACTATTATTACACCAGACTGTTGATGTAAATGTCTGTGTCGATAGAATAAGTTTAGAAGTAAAACCAACCTTGCATTTGAAGGATTTATGTCCGAGCAGCAGCAGTGAGTTGTACTTCCTGATAGAAAGCTTGGCAGTGGCGGACTGATATATGAGAAAATAGTCCCTCAATATGTGACGATTCATGTGATTTAAGGTTAGTTTAATTTCAAACATTATTCTATCAACACAGACATTTACATCGACAGTCTTGTGTAATAATAGACTTGCTTCGGGTGTTTTGTGAAGTGGGTAAGACTGTTTTTAGTAGCAGTATAACTATGGCCATTGACATGCACTAGCCTAGCACCAGCGACCTCTGCAAATACAAGGACTAAATGGAATATTTTAAAAAGTGTCTCCACATGTCTCCAACACTCTGGCTCACTAGGAAATGAGGTCCTATGTCCAAAAATTCTGAACTCTTCCTTTAATAGTAGTATTAATCGTAGTTGTAGGATTAGTAGTACCTTAATATGAGAACTGAAGTTGTAGTAATAGTATTAATAGTAGTTGTAGTATTAGTAGTACCTTGATATCAGAGCTGAAGTTGTTGATCTTGGAGCAGCCGGCCTCCTGCAGGTGGTAGTTTGCCCAGCGCAGGAGCAGTTCTTCTGGGGAGAGTTTCATCAGGTCCTCCAGGCTCTCTCCATCCCTCAGCAGAGCGATCAGAGCTACACAAGAACACAACACATATTTATGTCTGAGAAATAGGTCCAAAACAATCTATGGGCATCTCCTAATTCTAAAATTTGAGTATTTCAGAAAGAGCTTTTGTATATTTATGGAGAGTCAGTGTGTGGTCGCATGGGTGACGTTGGCTTTGGACAGGATCTTACAGTTAGCATGGGTTAAAAAAAAAAAAAAAACATAATGTTTTACTAATTCATACTTTGCAGTGACATCACAGTAGGACATCACAATAAATGTATGGGGATTCTATATGTATGTGTATGGCTAAATGTTCATCAGTTACCATAGTGACACAATGCACATATTAGCAAACACAGCCAAAAACGTTTTAAGATGGTCTGAAAACTCAAGAACAAATACAAATGGATTTAAACAACATAATATCAGGAGCCTGTGATCAATACTGTTCAAAACTGTTGGTTAATACTAGCTCACTTGTGGCTGTAAGGTTTTTTGAGAGGGACTTACTTAACAGCACAAATCAGCTCATCTGTTAGTTCAAACTAAGTCAGCTCTTTCTGGTCAGATTGTGTTAAACAAATCTCGCATCAAGTCTAACAAAGTCTCAGACAGAGTATACCTACAGTTAGCTTCATACCCATTGAGAATGTTGATGATATTGTTTGCAAAGTATCAATATGTAAAACATCTCATGGTATTGTTTAATATTGTAAAGCAGATTGAAATACTGAAGCACACCTTCGTTCCTGCTGAGCTCGATGTCGGCGAACAGTCCGATCTTGATGACCTGCCAGAGCAGCCCCAGGACCAGGTGCTGTCTGCCCTCCTTCAGGTCCTCTGCTCCAATGTTCACCACGTGGCAGCCGATTGCAGACGCAGAGTTCAGGGCCAAGTTCAGGTTCTCCTGTAGGACACACGCACACGAAGACGTGAGGAGCAGATTTTCTCTGATGGGAAATGGGTTGTGATGAGATGGGTTGTGTTCAAGGTTCAAGACACAAAAAATATATATACATGTATAAATCCTTAAAGGGGGACATATTATGTATGAACTTCCCTGCCTGGGATCCAGAATACACAATTCTCCAATACTTTACAAAGATGTGAGTCTGGTCACTAGTGAATCTGCAAGTTCAAATGGATGTGATTGACAATCAGGGACATGCATGGTCTGTCCATATCAAAACAAATATGGTGACTTACAGAAAAATAGCACAAGGGACTGAAAAACTGGGGTGAGAGAAATGTATTTTTGGTTGTAAATGATAAATGACAAGTGAACGTCTTTGTTTCACATGAGGCTCAACAAATCTGATTCGATGATCATGTTTGACTCAAGATGTGACAGAGGGAGTGATGACCAGACTAATAACCATGTGTATAAAAAATAGAGAGATCTCATTCTGGATTTACCAGGCAATCAGTTTTTTACAGTGTTATAAGAGTGTTCCCTCACCGTTACTTTACTCAAAGTTGTATTTCGATTGATTCACCCATGTTTGAGTAATCCTTGGTATTCTCTACATATGTATGTACAACTAAATACCAGTAAAAGCACAATATGTCTCTATAAAAAAGAGATATAAAGAACTAGACTTCAATGATGTCCATGATAACTGTGAAGTCCTGGTGTAGGGCGAATGCCTCTGACCTGGATAGTGAAGGGAGTGAGTTTCTTCTTGTTGATGGTTCTTTCGTCGATGGTGTCTGGCACTGACAAGTTTATCATTTTACTGTGGACACAAACGTGACATAGAGAATGAGCCTTACTTGAGTATTTTTTTCTCCTGTACTTTTACTTAAGTAACCAGCGTCTCTGTTATATAGTACTGACCAGAGCACGATGCCATCCCCCACAGCGGTGAAGAGGTCGTCACTGTTCGGGTCCATGGGCAACACGTGTTTACAGTCGTCATCTTTCTCCAGAGCTTTGTTGACCCAGTTCACAAAGGCAACCTTCTCCTCCTCTGCACACGCAATAGAAACAGGTTTAGACTAGGGTTGTCAAAAGTATCGAAAATCAGCTACTAATCGATTCTAATGCTAAAATTAGATACTCATTTGAGCAGATATCGGTACTAAAAAAAGTCACATTCACAGGACAGAAATTAAGCTTTCCTGAATAGCTTTAATATGATCTTGAATAGAAAAGAAAGCACTATCATTTAATGTTGAAAATCTATTGTCTAAACTAAAGAGTAATTTTTTATTATCATTGTGGCATCGGAATCAGTATTGAGTATTGAGTCTATTCCATAGTGATTTTTCTGATTGTTCTGACAAATATTGTGTGAGATTTATGTTTAGATAGTAGGATTCTGTTCAAAGTTCACATTTTAATCATGTTCAGAACAATTGACAAAAATACTGAAATCTGAACTGACAAACAAATACAAGAATCACATTTCAGAACATGTTTGTACAGATCTAAACTGCAGGGTTGACAGTTTTATTCAAGACAGACAGCGATTTTGTAGTTTGTGGAAAAAATGATGGTACGGTTTATCAGTCACCATCAATCATTATCAATCTTTTAAGCCATTTAATCATTCAGACAATTAAATTAATCCAATCCCCCAGGAGATTTGGCTGAAAACATGTGTAATTTTGTATGTTTCTGTGGGTTTCAGAGGTAAATTACTATGTGTATAACCTGGGTTGTTTGAAGGGCCCATATTACACTATTTTCTGATCTATGTCCTCATTAAAATCAGACCTGAAGTTGTGTTTTGTTTCATTCACACAGGTTAAACACACACCCTGCATATTTAAACTGAGTTTTTCTCTCAAATGGAAAACACTCTGTTCCACCTTGTGATGTCATGTGGTAATAAACACACAGTGCTTCACTGTATTTTTAAACTCCATACACCTTCACTAGAATCATTTGGATGATTTCAGCCCTGGAATTGCCAATTTCTACTGAACAAAACATAATTACCACAACATGACATCACAAAGCTACTGAAACATGTGTGACTGAAACAAAACACAACTGAGGAGACATTATAACATGGGTAAAAGCTCACCTGATTCAAGTTTGTGTAACATAGAACCTTTAACAAAAAATAATGTAATGTGGTTTATGTTATTAGGTTCTTTTTCAGACCAAGAGTATGTTTTCATACGTGTTTCAGACCTGACCTGTATGAATCAGCTGACCGGACACGTCACAACAACATCACCTGAGCACTCTGAGGAAGAGCGCTAGTGAGCAGTCCAAACTGTCAGGTATGAAAACAAACGCTTGGTGTGAAAAAAGCCTAATAACATAAATTATCAGAAGACCAAATGAACCTCATTGGACTATGTAATGTGGTGCTGGACCTGAGTACGAGTGCTGTGTTCCTGACTGCTCCGATCTCCCGGCCACAGAGCAGATGCCCTCCTTTTTGTTGATGGCTTTTCGGAATGTTTTGGCCACTTCAGTGCTCTTCAGACCATGCACAATCTGCAAGCAACAACAACATGAGGGTTTGCCATCAGCAAACTACACTAGCGTAGTAGTAGTGGTAGTTACAGTAGTAGTAATAGTAGTAACAGTGTCAGTAGTAGTATTAAAGTAATTTCACTTTTATCTCAGTTTTTAGGTGCAGTTTTAGGTTCCAGCTTCACTAATAAATAGCATCATCTAGTTATTTTTCTTCATTTTCAGGCAGTATTAGTGCAAATGAGGTATATTTGTAGCCTTGTAGTCAAAAATGTAAAATTATGGGTGTGTCATGGTCCAGTGGCCACTGCAGTCCTCCCCCCAGCTTTCTCCTTTAGTCCACCAAACTCCCCTTCACTCTCATTTTTTAGTGCGCAGGTACTGCCCAAGTTAGTAACTCTGTTTGAAACGTGGCAGTATTAGGTGTTTAGATATTCTTTAAGGTTAGCTCGGTCAAAGGTCAAAGGTGGTTACCTCGGTGAACTGGTCAAATGTGAGCTGGTCGCTGGTCTTGGTCAGTTCCTGGACGATCTCTCTGATCCTGTATCCGGGCAGAGGGAGGTTGGCTGCTCGGAACAGCTCATTCAGCTCAGCTTTACTGATGAAGCCGTTGTTGTCCACATCTGACACAGACAGTATGTTAAGAGCTTGGGTGTATATGTTAGTATTCTCATTTCATTGTATTTATCAAGGATCTTCTGTACTCTGCTTTTACAGCACTGAAGTTGTCTCACATATATTATTGCAAAATTTATCTATAAACTGGGGTTGTCAAAAGTATCAAAAATCAGATACTAATTGATGCTAAAACTAATATCAAAACAAGATACTCATTTGAGCAGGTATTAATACTAAAAGAGTAGCATTCACAGGACACAAACGAACCTTTCCTGAATATCTTTATCAGAACAAGTATAAGAGCACATAGACCACTATGGACCCTACCTGGACCACTGAGGGATTTATTATCATTGTGGTATCCGAATCTGTATTGTGTACCAAGGCTATTCCTTTAGCTCTAAATATCTGCATTTTAAACAAGTTCCACCATCCACACTTTTGCCTCCAAAACAGATGCACAGAAAACTGCCTATTACCGATTTTAGCGAAGGCCTCTCTGAGCTCCTCCAGCTCCTCCTGAGAGATGGGTGTGCTGCTCTCCATCGTGACAAACTGGAAATAACACACATGCTTTAAATAGGGAGTTGTAATAATAGTAACAGTAGTAGTAGTAGTAGTAGTAGTAGTAGTAGTAGTAGTAGTAGTAGTAGTAGTAATTAGTCACACGCTCAGTCACCACATTCACAGCATCATTACAAGTGGTCGATAACAGAAATACTTTAAACCTTTGCGAAGGTTAAATGTGGGTCTTAAATAAAGATTTCTGTTTCACTTCTGTTGTGTTTTGGAGAAGTTCTTGGTCATATGACAGAGCACTCTATTTCAACATCAATTCCTCCTTTTATATACATCAAAGTGATGTCAGCGCAAACTAAAAACAGATTTATAAAAATATTGAGAAATGTTAAATCGAGCAGAGAAGAGGGTCGAGGAAGAGGTGCAGAAGAGGAGGAGAGGGTCAGAGGTGCAGAGAAGAGGGTCAGAGGTGCAGAAGAGGAGGAGAGGGTCAGAGGTGCAGAAGAGGAGGAGAGGGTCAGAGGTGCAGGGAAGAGGGTCAGAGGTGCAGAAGAGGAGGAAAGGGTCAGAGGTGCAGAGAAGAGGGTCAGAGGTGCAGAAGAGGAGGAGAGGGTCAGAGGTGCAGAAGAGGAGGAGAGGGTCAGAGGTGCAGAAGAGGAGGAAAGAAGAGTGCAGAGAAGAGGGTCAGAGTGCAGAGAGGAGGAGAGGGTCAGAGGTGCAGAAGAGGAGGAGAGGGTCAGAGGTGCAGAAGAGGAGGAGAGGGTCAGAGGTGCAGAAGGGGAGGAGAGGGTCAGAAAAGAGGAAGCAGAGGAGGAGAGGGTCAGATGTAACTTTGAATTGAATTCCTTGGTTTGCCGCAGAAGTGAAACTCTCATTTCAAACACTAAAACACTACGTGTGCGTATGTCTCTAAATGAGTCAGGCTTAAATTTAACAGTGATCTCATCACTTCTTTACCTTTTATGTTCATAAACACAAACATTTCCTGTTCTCCAAAGACATTCATAAATGGTAAACGGTCACATTTTACAGTGCTTTTCCACCTTAAAGGCACTCAAAAAGAGTTTACTTCAAGAAACTCATCAATCATTCACACACACTATGTACACAGACACTGGAGGTGAGGTGGGTTAAGTGTCTTGCCCAAGGACACAACAACAGTGTTCATCTGTGGGAGCTGGAATTGCACTGCTAAACTTTGGGTCAGTGATTCTGACTGCTCTAACAATGATGTTTATTTTGAGAGCGAGTTGAACTGCCAGCCTTCGAATCAGAGGACAAAAACTTCAAATGTATTTGTATTGTAAATTGTAATTGTAAATGTCTTCATGCAGATGTTAACGCTTTGCCTGGAAAGTCTGTAAATAGATAAATTCAGTATCACCATGGAGCATTCCAGGCAGAAATGCTCAATCCTTGATATTGTGGCCAAGGTAATCAGAGGTATAATACTCCCTACTAAGGAAGCTGAGAACTAAGACTAGACCAGGGGTTTCCAGCTTTTTTCCCCCTGTGAGCTACCTTTACAAAACGAAAATCCCAGAGAGCTACTCATTTTAGCAGCCACCAGAAATGGAGTAATTATAAGAACCACGGCCTTAGATCAAAACAGTTAGAGGCCTATAAAACATATACTATTATCCATTTATTGGTGCAGAAAGGAAAGTTAGGCATGAACATAATACATTTACAATTTTAACCTTCATTCTATTCATCATTTTTTTGTTATTCAGCACAAAACTTAAAATTGAGAAATTCTTTGGCGAGCTACTTGGAAGGAGGTGGCGAGCTACTGGTGGCTCCCGAGCTACAGGTTGGAGATCCCTGGACTAGACTGAACTAGAATAAACAACACCATCTCTTGTCCTTTAGGGTTCATGTATTTATTGTACAACATGCAACTTTAAGTACAGAGCTGTTTCTAGTTTCAGTTTTTCAGTGATTTGTGTGTGTTTGAGTAATCCTACATTGCACTGATTCAAAAGGTCACTAATAAAAAGTTATATCTCCCCTCCACCCAATAATAAAAACTGAAAAGAAGGGAGTAATATAAGTAATAATGTTCTTGGTCTTACAGTATATTTCAGCACTGACAGAGAGTCTTGTTCAGTTGAAACCACAGACTTCCTGTTGAGACCTGAGTTCTGCTTCTGCTGCAGCACTGCTCTGTACAATAGAAAGAGGCTCATGCAGGCTTTTTCTTATAGTCCTGTATTACACTAAATTGACCAAAATGAGCTGTAAGCCATGTTAGAATGTTGTTACCTCATCAAAAACATACATTTATTATTAGTATGTTTACTTCTCCAAAGCTCAAAATGCTCTGTTCTACCTCGTGATGTCATGTTTTGGTGGTTTTCAAGTTTAGTTTTCAAACTCCAGGTATGTTTGTGATGAAGAAACAGCATTAGAACATCGATCAGGAAATAACTTAAAGAGGTCACAGACTGTATGATGCAGTGAGAAGCAGCGCTCTAAAGTTGCATGTCGTGATATAAGATGGAGGACGGCTGTATTATAAATTTATGGGCGTTTTGAAGTTGGAAAGAAATATCTAAACAAAAAAAATCCTCATATACTGAAGCATATTATTTTCGGTTAAGGATCGGGTCCAGACATTTTTGTTGTATCTTCAAGTACAACTGACAACAACACTGAGAATGTGAAGTAGAGCTATAGTGCTTTAGTCTTTTAGTCGATTAATCGGTCAACAGGGTCTTAGAGAACGTATTAATAGTGCAAATGTATAATTTGTCGTAAAATATGGTTATGCAGACATTAAAAGTGCCTTGTGTAACTTTTCCGGTGAAGAATCCTTCAAATACTTTTTTTTTTTCCGAGGAGATGTTATTGCTTTGTTTGGAATGTTTCACAGTATGGCTTTAAACCTTTCTACCTTCATGGAGCTCAAACCATACAAGTTACAGGTCAGATCTGCGGAGAGGCGACCCCACTCACAGTTAGTAGGCCTGTCTTTCTAGGTATTTATGAGCAATAAAATCACCAGTAATTTAATAATGTCATACTGTGGAACATTAGACAAAGCAATGGCACGTCCATAGAAACAAACAGTTACACAGTGCATCTTTACAAAGAGTTTCATCAATCGTAATTAACCTGAAATCACCGTAAGCACTTACAAATATGCAAAATAGCAGCTAGATGTTAATATGAGTGTAATCCTTTTGCTGGTATCTTTTGACCAGGTTGCAGTTCTTATGTAAAATGTTAAATAAATAAAAAAATAATCGTCAGTTATAGGGCTAATTTACATTAGTGCTATATAAAAAACAGACTACACTTGTGATTCATGAGTTTAAGGTGCCTTTTTACATAATCATAAATAGACACCAATAATACCAAATCTTGAGATAACTCACTCATTCACTTCCTCTTTCTGATGTTGTCCCATATAAATCTTTTCTGTCAATTCTCTGGTATAAAATTTAATAATTATACAAATTTTGGTTGACTAATCTGTATCATGTTAGGACATTTTTGTACATGGATAAGTGTTAATAAGTAAAAAGAACTTGTGGTACTAGTTCTTAACAATATTTATGTCATCCATTATTATTCATGTACAAAAACTCCTAACATCATACTAATTGGGAGTAAGTTTGTAATTACCAACTAATGAACCAAAGTATGTAGCAAGATGTTAATAAAAGGAAACTAAAACTTGTGAACTTGTGGTTAGATAAACAAAGATATTAACCAAACTAGAACATAATGATCAAAATGATGTGTGTCGACTTTACAAACACAGAGGAGCTTTATCTGACATCATCTTGACAATATAAAATTATTTGAATATTTATGTTTCTAGCTCCGCCCCTTCAGATATAATGTAGGTTTTCTCATTTTCGTGTCCTTCAAATGACATTAACTTCAAATTATAAATCAGATGTTACATCCCGACAGTTACACTTTAAGTTACTTGAGTAGTAGTATTCCCAATTCTTGAGTAATTTGTTGCATCACTACTTTGTATTTCTACTTGAGTAATATGATTTTGAACATTATTCTTTGTTGCATATATTTTTTGGCTACTCCACCCACCTCTGGACATCATACAGTGTGAGACTGTTTTGAGCTTTGCAGAGGGAGACAGACTAAAATAAAAGATTACGCAAATGTGTAAACGAAACAAAACACAACTCCAGGCATGTTTCTAACTGACAATTTACATTATAACTTGGTATAAAGCTCACAAGTTAAGTAGGTAGCCAGCAGAGGGCACTAATGAACTCACAGTTGACCTTGTGACACGTGTATCTGTCCCTTTTCTTACCAAAAAACAAAATTACTTACAAGTTACCAATGATTACATCTGACCTGTTATTTAACCGACACTAGAAACATGGACGGTTAGTTAGTGCTAGACTGAACTACTAGAATGACCTATATTTATTCCTAAACCTCTTTGAAAGGAGTTGGAAATGCTTTTTTTGCAATTGGCCTTAAAGTGTAATTATGAATTCTTCTTTCAAGCTTAAATATTGTTTTAATAAATGCATGGAAATGCTATTTTATAATGAAGATGCTTCCTTAGAGGGTTGTTGCGATTATAAAATCAGAAAATTTTAGGGCCAATTTGCACCATTTTTAGGTCTGTTTGTAAAATGAAATTGCTTCGATCAACCAATATTAGCGCAAGTTTCCTATTTGCAGATACCATGCAAAAAATCTATTTATTTGCTAACACCACAGCTTAAAAAATACATGTGCTGTCAACTTCCTGTAATTCTTAATGAAAAATCATATTGCGTACTTTGCTAAAATCCCATACACTCATTACAGCACATAAACTCCACACTGAAATATGAATAAATGTTGCATAGAGTTACCTGAGAATGTCTGGCCGTGCAGATGCAGTGACTATGACAAACCTGCAGAAGTGTAAAACTACAAAGCGTGGATTCAAATCAATGAGGAAGGAAATGACACGAGAACAGCTATGTCTTTATATGGCAATGCTATAGGCTGCAAGGTGACGAGATCTGAGCCAAGAGGTCCGCATGTGGGTTCAGACCTGGTTTAGATCTGGTATAGTACTGGTTTGGTCCTGCTTGGCCAGTAGGGTTATGAGACTTATAAAGACAATACGTCCCATGCAAAATTGACTCTTGTGAGCTTTTAGCCATGTTATGTAATGCTGTTACCTCTTCAAAAAACATGCCTTGAGTTGTGTTTTGTTGCATTCACACATGTTTGAGTAAGCTTGGTTTAATAGTCTGTCTACATCTCTAAAACTCAAAGTGCTCTTTTACACCTTGTGATGTCATGAAGTGGAAGTTTTCAAGTTATTAGACCTTTTACAAGTTCAGTAGAGATTGGCAAGTCCAGGGCTGAAATTATCCAAATGATTCTAGTAAAGGTATGTGGAGTTTAAAAACACAGTGAAGCACTTCTTATATTACCAGATGACATCAGAAAGTGGAACAGAGTGTTTTCAGTTTGAGAGAAGAACTCAGTCTAAATATGCAGGATTGTGTGTTAAACATGTGTACACAAGAAATCAGAAAATTGCCTAATATGGGCCCTTTAAGTACTATTCAGCAGCTCAGTTTCCTGTTTGTAAACACCATTCAAAAGACACAGAACAGAACAGAAAATTTAGGTGAGAATTGCTAATTGCTATGGTAACTGCAATTTTTTTTATAATTCTGTACCCCAAAGTTCCAACACTTGACAATGGCATAGCTGTGGTCTAGTCCTGATTTAGTCCTGGTATGGATCTGTTTACAGTTAAACAGACTAAACAGCCAGTTTAATAAATGTATTTTGAGCCTGAACTGAAAGAGGGAATCAGTGCATTCGGAGGCGTATGAGGAAGTAGTTGTTTCAAATCAGGAAGTTACAACACGAGCTAAAAGGCACTGCAATGAGTCTATTCTTTTGCACAAACAGCAGCTGTTTTCTCATCAGCTGAGTTTGAAAAATGTATTTATACTTTGCAGTGAGATCACTCTGGGAATCTTCTACCTGGATGCCTATGGCGGAATGTTCAGTTGTTACCATGGTAACTCAATGCATATATCAGCAAGATCGTCTGAAAACAAGAAAAATGCAACTGTGACTGTAATGTTATTTTAGAGGGACTTTTTGTATCTCTCCTATTGTAATTCCAGCTAAGTCAGTTCTTTCTGATCAGATTGTGTTACAATAAAGCTTAGATTAAGTCTAGAGTAACAGAGCTTCAGTCAGACAGAACAGTGCCTACAGTTAGCATCACACCCCAGAGATTGTTGATGACATCAGTTGCAAAGTATCAATATTTAAATAATTGAACGACTCATTTTTTCATGAACTAATAGTTACTGTATGTGGATGACTATGACTGTAAACCATGTTATCTGCTAAGACAAGAGATTTTATCACTGTTTTAACACGGAAAGAGTTAAGAAAAGTGCACTGTGCAACTTTTCTTGTCTCCAATCAGATTTTCTTGCTTTGCCTGGAATGGTCCACAGTCTGGCATATTTTAAAACTAATCAGACTTGTTACTTGGCATGTTGTTGCACCTGAGCGTCACCATGCAGTTAGATACTTTTAAAACATTAAAACATTCTTGACAAAAAACAGAGAGAGCAGAAAAGTTATGAGTTAGGAAGATATTTACAGATCAATAATCAAATCAGTTGTTAGCTGTAGGGCCAAAAATTAAGAAAATCAGATAATAATCAATACTAAAACTAGCATCGAAATTAGATACTCTTTAGAGCAGGTATCGTTACAAAAATGTCACATTCACAAGAAAAAAAATTAAGCTTTCTTGAAGTTTTAGCATAATTTTGAGCTTTAGCAGAACTTGTATAAGACCTCACTGTATCATAAAGGAAGTACTGTTATTTTGTGAATGAAAATTACATTCTGTCAGAGGAGAAAGGAAGAAGGAAACATTTTTATCATCAGCGTCTTACTGCAATCAGTATCAAGTATTGAGTCAGTTCCTTAGTATTGAAATTGAGTTTAAAATTTTAGTATCGAGACTAGGTAATTGTAACCAATTTTGAACCAGTAAAGAAAGCAGGTAGATCATCAGGAGGGAAGTGTGCGTCTGTGTGAAACTGAATGTGTTTTGTGACTGAGGGACTGAAACTAGCTAAGATTTCCTCTTTTTAAACAAAGCTCTGATACTGATTATCTGACCTGTTTCAGGGCTACAGTTGTTCAAATTTAAAGAAGTACACACTTTTAAATATGACTGAAAGGCACACATCATTGTACTAACTTCCTAAAACTCATAAGGTTTTTGTAGAAGTGCTATTAACAGATAATTGAAAATACAAAAAGCTAAATTACCAAAGAACATGAAGCAATTTTTGATTATTTAAATCTTAAAGGGCCCATTTTACACTATTACTGATAATTATTTTTCCTCATCAAAACATACCTAATGTTTTGTTTCACTCACACATGTTTAACACACAAACCCTGCATATTTAAGCTGAGTTCTCCTCTCAAACAGAAAAAACTCTGATCCAACATATGATGTCATGTGGTAATGAGCTAACAACATTATAATATGGTTTAAAACTGACAAGAGTCAATTTTGTGTAATATAGGATATTTAAGGTGTAGACTGCATATTTTGTATACTTTTAAAAAAACGTTCTTGTATCTTTTATGCAAAATAAATATAAATACAACTACAGCCACTCGTTCTTATTTTTGTAGATTTTACTGGTCTTGTTTTGCGTCTGTAATCGTTTTCATGCGGTTTTAGTGAAATAAATTGAAAAATAAAAATCATGTGTCAGTGACGTGAAGGTAAACAAACCCTCAGCCAATCAGAGCCGATATTTGTGGTCAGCTGACTGGCACTTCCGCGTTGGCGTCAATCTGTTGTCAAAATGGCTGATCACGATATTCTCCACCATTACCAACAACTTTCGCTCTGTTTGTGCGATCTAATTCGGTAAATGTAACCTTTTTCATGCGTTTGTCATTAGCAGGTGTTCAGTTTAACCAGTGCACAGCGTTAAAGTGTGTAAATAATCGCAGATTTAGCCGTTCTGAAGCAGGAAGCTAAATTTAGCCGCTAACAAGCTCTCGTGAAAGATGATGTTATTCGATTGCAATACACGCAGCAGAAAAAGAGCTTTCGTTTAAGATCTAATAAGTCTTTGAAATATGCTAATATTTCCTAGATAAATGCAACAATAATTACTTGGCTCTTCTCCGGATCAAAGTGTATTTTATGAAGAAATTGAAATGAGTTCAGAATCTAGAATTAATACAGTAAAAGACTCCGCTACACAAAATAGACAGAGCCTTCTAAAATATCATTAAAAAACTAAAAACAATACGTGATGGCCAGACTTTAGCCATGATCTAAAGCTGATTTAGATTTAGTTTCGATTCAATATATATTTATTCATGTCAGGCTGATCATGATCAATAATGAATGAATAATTTAATCAATGGATAATTTTAGTTGTGAATGTCAATATAATAATTTGAAGTTTGAGAATATTACCAGCTAAAATAAATGATTTAAATCAAATTTTCAAAAAATGTAACTGCAATATGACTTTATAATTCAGACAGACAATACGTCTTTCAATACTTCTTAGACTTCAATAAAGCTAAACTGTTGTATTCTATAGTGCTGTAGGCCTTCAGTCGCTTAGTCGAATAATCGGACAGTGATGTTTGTCAGCTAGTCATTTTATTTAGATTATAAAGATTTATATGTGATGACAGCAGAAAGGAGAAGTTAGTGAGTGATTTGGTATTTATATGTAAAAAGATTACACTCATGATTCACAAGTTTAATCTGCTTTTATCTAAATACATTGTTTCTTAGTACTTTTTTCGGCAACCAAGAATTTCAACTACAAACCTGGTATTCTGTTAAACTGTGTGAATGAAATGTCTAAATGGATCTGCCGACATTAAATTGTGAAATTGTAAAATGAATGTAAAATGTATGTCCCTCCTCTTTCTGTTGCAGGTTGCTATGGGCCCTGATCATCCCATGCCTGTACCTGTCTCTGTTCCTCACTCTTTTGCTGCTGTTGCTTCTTCTGGGGGTGAGATGTTGGCTCCAGAGCCGGAGGAGGGCCCGGAGGTCCCAGGATAAGGGCCCCGCGGTCGCCTTCTTTCACCCATACTGCAACGCCGGCGGAGGGGGAGAGAGGGTGCTTTGGTGTGCGCTCCGGGCTCTCATGAACAAGTACGTGCACCTGTGCAGTAAAAAAAAAAACAACTCTCAGAATATCTCCATGTTCTTTTTTTACTCTTTAAAAAAACTTTTTATAATACTTTTATAATAAAGCGAAAATATAAAAAAAAAAAAACTCAGCTAGCTGCTAAGCCATATTAGAATGTTGTGGCCTCCTCAAAAACAGACCTGGAGTTGTGTCTTGTTTTATTCAAACATGTTTAAGTAACCCTTTATTATTCATCTGTCTGCATCTCCAAACCTTAAAATGCTCTGTTCCACTGTGTGATGTCACGTTGTGATAGTTTTCAAGTTAACAGCTCTTTTACCTTTAGTTCAGTAGAGATTAGCAATTCCAGGGCTGAAATCATTCAAATTATTCTAGTGAAGCTGTATGGAGTTCTTCCTGCATTACCTGCATTTCCACATGACATCACAAGGTGTTTTCTGAGAGAAGAAGTCAGCCTAAATATGCAGGGTTTGTGTTAAACATGTGCGAATGAAACAAAGCACAACTCCAGGTCTGTTTGTGATGAGGACACAACATTATAACGTAACACATAACATTAACACATAAGATTTGTGTAATATGGGCCCTTTAAAGTGTAAGTTATTTCTCTTTACTGCTCACAGATACCCAGAGGTCTCATTTGTGGTGTACACCGGGGATCAGGGCGTGATTCCGGACCAGATCATTGAAGGAGCGCGGCGTCGCTTTAACATCACTCTTCCTCGTGCTGTGAGCTTCGTCTTCCTCAGGACCAGGATCCTGGTGGAGGCTGCCTCATACCCTCATTTCACTCTGCTGGGACAGAGCCTCGGGTCCATGTTTCTGGGTAAGACTTTGGACAAACTAGCAACGTCAAAAGATTAAATACTAGGATTAAGGCTGGGCAATGAATAGAATTTGTATTTAATTGAGAGGCAGTCAAATCAAATAGTTAATAGTTAATTGATCAGCTAGGGGCTTTGTTATCTAGAGGTCTACAGCCAGTTCTGGAGGAATAAATGTGACACTATTTTAATGTCAAAAAATGGTGAAAACAATTACTGTAAATGATTTCCAGTTTTGAACACCAGAGGGCATATTTTCAAAATATTTTTCTAAATGCTGCCAATACAATACCATCTATGCAAAAATAGTTAATGTGTCAATAAAAAAAATCTAACAAAAAGCTGTAATTGATCAATATGAAAAAAGAAAAAATTTAAACAATGGTTACGTGACATTGCTAAATGTGTATCACCGTTTAAGTATAAGGCAGTGTACAGGGGGTAGGGGAAAACAGGAATTGCCGAAGCAATGGTGTCTTGACTACAGAAGAATAAAGGAGTAGCGCGCAATACAAATTTGTGTCATTAAATGAGAAGGGCAAATATAGCATGGTCATGTTTGCACAGTGTCTCCTTTAAACCCATGTAATATACTGTACCTTTGTTTTTGTCTATTTTCAGGTTGGGAGGCCCTGACGTCCTTTGTCCCAGACCTGTACATTGACTCCATGGGTTACGCCTTCACTCTGCCCATCTTCAGGTACCTGGGTGGATGTAAAGTGGCCAGCTACGTGCACTACCCCACAGTCTCCACGGACATGCTGTCAGTGGTCCGACAGAGGAATCCCAGGTAACAAACAGAATTGGCAACAAAATTCAAAATGCAACAATATTCTCAGTATTTTTTTTTCACTTTGTTCTTAATAAATCTAATACAAATGCTCCTAAGATTTCTAATTTAATATGATTACAATATGATTAACTGTGCTAATCAGGGTTTCTGCAGGGTTGGGCAAGTCAAATTTAAGACTATTTAAGTACCTTTTAAGACTGCTAGTTAAACAAGATATCTTCGTGACAGTTTTTGATTTATACGGATACGCTTTTTCAATACTTTACAAAGATGGGATTCTGGTCATTGTTGAATCTATGTTTTCAAATGGGTGTGATTGGTCCATCTGTATCAGAAAAGATAAAATAAAAAAATGTTATATCACTGATAAACATGGCTGATTTCTGCATCAATAAGCAAAGCATTAAACTCTCTTCAGCTGAGGTGACAGAAATTAGATTTTATATGTAAATGATAAGTGACCAGTGAGCGCCTTCGTGTCACATACATCACTGAAAATACAAATTGGACGATCACATTAGACCAGATACAAGACGAGACCAGGGTGGTGGGGACCAGACTGAGATATCAGTTAGGACCTGCCAGGCAAAATTAAATCAGTAATTAATCGCAGAGGTAGAACCAAGACTTGCATTTTAACAATGTACTCTCTCCTTAACCTTACTGTGTGACTGAAAGAACATCACATGATTTCTTTTTGTATTCTTAGGTTCAATAACTCGGACTTCATCAGCCGAAACGCCATCCTGAGTGCGGTGAAGCTGCTGTATTACTGTTGCTTCGCCCTGCTCTATGGTTTGGCTGGCTCCTGCAGTGACGTCATCATGGTCAACTCCACCTGGACTCTGGGTCACATCCTGGCTCTGTGGCGTTCTCCGTCTCGTACCAGCATTGTGTACCCTCCGTGCGACGTCCGCGCTTTCCTTGACATCCCGCTCGAAAACGAAGACGACGATGACTGGGAGGAGGTCGGACGGGAGCTCGGAGATGAAAATTTTCAAGCCAAACCTGACAAAAAGTGCACCTCTATCGTGTCGATCGGGCAGTTCAGACCGGAGAAAGATCACAAACTGCAAATCCAAGCTTTCAGGGAGTTACTGAACAGAAAAGGGGAATTGAAGGAGGGGCTGAAGTTGGTTCTGATTGGCGGATGCAGGAATGAGGAAGATGAGGATCGGGTGCTGAGGTTGCGAGGTTTCTGTGGGGAGTTGGAGGTGGGAGATAAAGTGGAGTTTAAATTAAATGTGCCATTCGAGGAGCTGAAGAAAGAACTGGGCCACGCCACCATCGGGCTGCACACCATGTGGAACGAGCACTTTGGGATCGGTATGTACTCACACCTTCAGGTTTACATTAAAGGTCCTCTATTACACAAAATTGACTCTTGTGAGCTTTAAACCATGTTATAATGTTGTTACATCATCAGAAACCTATCTGGAGTTGTATTGTGTTTTGTTTCATTCACACATTTGAATTATCCTGGATCATTAAGCTGTTTGCATCTCCAAAGCTCAAACTGCTCTGTTCCACCTTGTGATGTCATGAAATTATCCAAATGATTCTAGTGTAGTTTGGAGTTTAAAAACACAGTGGCACACCTGCTGGAAAAGTGTTTTCTCTTTGATAGAAGAACTCAGCCTAAATATGCAGGGTTTGTGTGTTAAACACGTGTGAATGAAACAAAACACAACTCCAGGTCTGTTTGTGATGAGGAAACATTATTAGAAGATAAATCAGAAAATAGCATAATATGGGCACTTTAAAGATGCACTGTGTAACATTTTTGGTAGAAGGTCCACAATCAGCTTGTCTCCATGGAGATGTTATTGCTTTGTTTGGAATGTTCAACAGTGTGGCATTAAACTTATTTATTTTCCATGAAAGACAGGTATGTGTGGAGAGTGATCACAATAAGAATGCATGTTTTTCCGAGGTATTTTTGAACAATTAAAAAACAGTTGTAATTAAATTAAATGGCCAATGGATATGTGTAATGGAACATTCCAGTCAAAGTAATAAAATCTTTGACGATACGAAGTTCCACATTGCACCTTTATGATGGTGTTTTTACCAGTTTATTAAAAAGCTGCTACAGTCTGATATATACATTATATATATATATAAAAAAAGGTCTTCAACTCTGCTCGGTATTTAGTTTAAACAGCTGAACTGAACATTTCTCTCCTTTTGTAACATATTTCTGAGTCTGTGTGTTGAGGAAATGAATTGTTGAAGGGTGTGATGAAGTGAGCCGAAACAAGCTAGCTAAGCTCTGCACAGTCACAGCAACAACTCATAAACTCCTTTCAGTTTCCATTTTGCATTTTCCATTTTGCACAGCGTCTTTGAGAGTTTAGAAAGGTACTATATAAATATGTATACTGGTATATGTGTGTGTAATGCTTTTATACATATATATATTATGTATATATATGTATGTATATATATATATATATATATATATATATATGTGTGTATATATATATATATATGTATGTGTGTATATATATATATATATGTATGTATATATATATATATGTATGTGTATATATATATATATGTATGTGTATATATATATATATTTTATATATATATATATATATATACACACACATACACATACATATACATATGTGTATATATATATTATATATATATATATATATATATATATATATATATATATATATATATATATATAATATAATGCAAAATACCTGTGATCGTTCAAGCGTTTATGGTCCTGTTTTGGAGTTTGATTTTCAACAAAAGTGAGATTGACTAACTGAAAAACCGTAGCTAATGCTACCTAGTGATGGTAATTTTATGTGTGCGAGGCTTGTTTAAACACACAATCAGCTCACCGAGTCATCTATTTCTGGTCAGATTGTGTTTAAATAAAGATCAGATTAAAGTCTAACTTGAGTTACAGAGCTCCTAACTAGGGGTGCGCAAAAATGTCAAAATATCGATATATTTTATCATTTAATGTGATGAAACTGTATCGATATCGTGGGCTGCTGTATCGATATATCGCCAAGAGTATTTTTTTGGTATATTTTACAAAATTATTTTGTTACAGAGCTACAGTTTTGTTGTTTTCGTTTATGCGACACATTTGACATTTTCACTGTTTTGATGATTACAATGTTTTTTTTTTTTCGTATTAACTTTACACAAGAAGTGGTTTAACAAAGACTTTTAGTATTACAGCCATGATTTAGGTTTTATTTTTTATTGAACTGTATCAAATCAATTTGAAATATATCGAATCGAAAGTGCACTTTAACGAGATATGTATCGTATCGTGGCCTGTGTATTGAGGTATGTATCGTTTCGGCAACTTCTTAATGATACCCAACCCTACTCGTAACACAGTAGTGTCAGTTAGCCTCACACCCCAGAGAATGTTAATGACATCAGCTGCAAAGTATTGTATATGCACATTTCATTACAATTTTGTTATGCATTATAGTAAACTCTCGCCCATCTCTCTCTTTTTCTCCCCACTTTACTCCCCACCTCTCTTTCTCCTCATCTCCCCCATCTCTCCTCTCTTTTTTCTCCCTCTCTTTCCCCCTCAGGAGTGGTGGAGTGCATGGCCGCGGGCACCATAGTCCTGGCCCATAAGTCCGGAGGGCCGAAGCTGGACATCGTGGTTCCTTTTGCGGGGGGACAGACGGGCTTCCTAGCCGACAGCGTGGAGAGTTACGCCTCCTGCATGGAGACCATCCTCTCTCTGTCCCCCGACGCCCGACTGGAGATCAGACGGAACGCGCGGCAGTCGGTGGAACGCTTCTCAGACCAGGAGTTTGAGAGCAGCTTTTTGGGAGCCATGGAAACGGTGATGAGGAGACTGGAGCGGTGAATGAGTGAAATTTAAAGGACATGTAAACCGTTTTCACCATTAAAAAATAAAAACTAATACAGGCCAAAATCAAGTGCTTCACAAGTAATTGGTGGGTTTCAGATGACGTTACACCATTCTATAGGCTAATAATACTGAATAAAGATGGGGGCAGCTAAAATGAATATTGTTAGAATGTAGATTTTTGTTGTAGTACTGTGAGTTCTTGGATATATCATGGCAAAGTACAATGTAAACAATAGGAAAATCTGTCTCGCCCCCATGTGGAAGTATGACATCATCACGTTTCAGAATCTGAAAACCACCAACGAAGCAAACTGTGTTCATTTTGGTGACAATGGGAAAAAAATTCAAATGTAGAGAAAAGCAGCACTAAGCTAACCTGCTCAAAACCTGTTTGAAACCAGGTCTAAAATAGCTTGAAGTCAAAACTGGAACAAAAATTGAACAAAAGATCAAAATGTAAAATTCTGCATTGTAATTCTGCATTTTTTTTGTGACAATTGAAGAATTTTTCATTTGTTTCGTAAATTAATAGCCGATAAACTAAAAAATGGAGATGGCTTTAAAATGCTAGAGTGCTGAGTGTTTTTATCTAGCTTTAAACCAGAACATAAAGAACAAACCCAGACTAAAGCTTAAGCTGGTTTATCTCTGGACTAAATGAAAAATCTGCACTGTGCAACTTTTCTGGTGGGGTGAGTGCTCGTTTCCATGGAGATGTTATTGCTTTACCTGCAGTATGTCACTGAACTTATTTATGACCATGGATACAAGCACATGATGCCCCCTCCCCCCCCGCAGCCTGGTCAGATCCGTGGAGCGGCGATCCTGCTCAGAGTAGGAATGTATGTTTGAATACGTCATTGGAAACAAACAAGTAGCCCACCCTCCACCAGAAAAGTTACTTAGTGCACCTTTAAACGAGGTAGGTAATGAAAACGTAGTAGTAGTAGAAAAGGAAGTTACAAAAAGTAGATATTTTCACTATAAAAGTCTGACTAAAATTCAAAAAGTTGTACAAAATCGTATCAAGTTATTAGGTATTTCTCACAGTTCAAAAGTTTGCAGCACTTTTAAATACATTTACTGTTCACTTAAAGCAGCCAATTTTAATTTTCTTTTCTTTTGAATGAGCTTTGTGTTCTGTGCAAACCTTTTTTTTGATTCTGGGTGAGTTCCACATTTATGTTACCCTGAAAACATGCTTTGTTTATGCTCATTGTAGATCATTTGCAGTTTGAATAATATTTAAGAATAGAGATTAGAGAAAGTTAAAGTTGCAAGAGTCTCCTTGAGTTACACGAATAAGTTATGTTTAAATGCAGTGAAAGTGAATGAAGGTGTTCATAGTTTGTTTATGGACCAATGTAATATAACAGTATGTGCAATGTAGAGTTCAGTCCTTTTCAGAAGAGACGCATCTAGGGGCCAAGTTCTAGTTTCTTTGACTGAAATGCGTTCTGTAATAAAGATAATAATACAACCTTATATCTGCTTGGTACTATTTCTTGTGGAATAGTGATACATGGTTTTAGAGGTGAAATCCAAAATACACAATTTAAATAGCTGCCTGAAAAATATGTAAACAATTTTATTTGATTTGATGAGAACAGTATTAGGACAGAACATTTAGCATTATAAGGACTTGAGAATTCACTTAATTGTATCAGAAATCACTATTCTGTCTGAAGTTCTGTCACTGAAGTTAGACTTTATTCTGAGCTGCTGAACATGTCCCTCTCAACTAATATTACAGTCACAAGTGAGTATTACAACTAAAAACATTTTGGTAATTATTGCAAAGTATCAATAAACCAAATGATTCTAAAATACATGAACAACATGATACTGTTATTACTGTAATTCTTGGTTATCTAATGGTGGTTGTGCTCATAAGTATTAACTCCATCCTCAGTAAATAATCCTCATTGTTGTGAAAGTTAAGTTGATTATCTGCGAGCACATTATCCCAGAGCTTTTAAACTTACGGAAACCTTACTGGTGTTTTTACTGTTAAGAAGAAGCACAACTGTTGCCAGCAGGAGGCACAAAGTCAAAGCATCTTAAAAAAGTCTAAAAACAAGGGCTTCTACCATCGGTCTGGTGATGGTGAATGAAAGAGCTGATTTCACCTATGTTTGGAAGAGCTTCTGGTTTAAATCCCTCGACCCATTTGAGTGATTTGCCGTGATGGTTTTTCCGATCAGATCCCATTACAATCGTCCTTACTGGTAGCTTTGTTGTCCTGGTTTTCACCTCCTCCTGTAGTGTCGTTGGACTCTCCTTCCTGCCTGATCTGCGGCGGGTCTGTGGCGCTTGCTTCCTGGTTCCCATCGTGCCGTGGGGCGTCATCCAGGATGAGCAGGTTCATCATGGAGTCGGCCACAGCCTCCCTCAGCTCGTCCTCTGACTCTTCAAAGTTACTAACAAAAAAAAAAACATTTTTTATCTATATATCTTTATTATTATTATTATTATTAGTAGTAGTAGTAGTAGTAGTAGTAGTAGTACTACTAGTAGTAGTGGTATTAGTATTATTATAGTGTTGTACAAATGTTGATTAAGCTGTCTGCATCTCCAAACTTCAAAATGCTCTTTTCCACCTTGTAATGTCATGTAGTGGAACTTTTCAATTTGACAGCTACGTTTTACCTTTAATTCAGTAGAAACTGGAAACAGTGGTGAAATTATCCCAATAATTCAAGTGAAGGTGTATGAAGTTTAAAAACACAGTGGAGCACTTCTTGTATTATCACATGACATTATAAGATGGTGTTTTCTGTTTGAGAGAAGAACTCATCTAAATATGTATCCAGGGTCTGTGTGTTAAACATCCAACTCCAGGTATGTTTAATATAACAGACCAGAAAACAGTGTAACATGGTCCCTTTAAATGAAAAAATAATAAAAAATTCATCTCACGTATCGTCATCATCAGATCGTGGCTCCAGTCGTTCTTCATCACTCTCCACGTCTGAGTCCTCTCCCTCCCCTATTTTCTCTTCCTCGTCTCTCTCTCCTTGTTGCTGCTCCTGTCTTCCATTTGTCTCCAGCTGCTGCAATTTCTCTATTTCTGTCAAATAAAAAAACATTACAAATAAAATTCAACAGTGTGTGTTTAAATGCTTATTTCATATGTACATAGAGTTAAAAATAATAATAATCTAAACTTGTGAAATTAACAAATCCTAATGTAATTCAAGTACAGTGTAGCAGTGATTCTTAACCATAGGGCCAGGGCCCAAAGTAGGGCCGGGACCACCTCCTTGGGGGCCCCACAATCAGTTCAATATAATGCATGTAATATGAGATAGGGCCCCAGGTTACTTTGTTCAGAAAAAGTCAGGTCCTAAGATTGAAAAGGTTAAGAACCCCTGTGATAAAGTATTAAAACATGTCTCTATGACTTTAAACTACTGCCTGTGCTCTCGGCTTCCTCCCCAGATCAATACATAGCAGTGGATGGAGTCTCTCCTCAGCTTTCATCCTTCTCAGTCGCCCTGACCCAGGAGAGATGGCACAGAAAGCACTCGACCAAGAAGCCTTTTCCTGCTGCATGTTTTTGAAACTAGTGCAGGATCCTGTGACTATTCCCTGTGGACACAAATGTGTCCAACACCATTGGGGTCAAGAGGACGAGAACCAGCTCTACAGCTGCCCTGAATTTTGCTTCAGCTCCAGCCCCAAGTTTATCCTGGGTAAAAACATCATGTGGGATGTGATGGCTGCAGATGAAAGCTCCAGAGAGGACTTCTTACAACATTTTACAGAAATCACCCTGGACCCAAACACAGCTCCCACCAAACTGTCGCTGTCTGATGGAAACAGAAGAGCCACAGTGCTAAGTGAAGATGAGGAACAGAGTTATCCAGATCATCCAGATTCAGTTACTGGTGTCAGATCCTGAGCAGAGAAAGTCTGACAGGCCGCTGTTACAGGGAGGTGGAGTGGAGCGGGAGGAGGATCCGTATAGCAGCTACATACGGCAATATTTGGAGAATAGGAGCTTCTAGTAAAAGTATATTAGGAAACAATGAGAAATCCTGGGCCTTAAAGAGTAAATCGTAAATAGTTTTGGTTTAACTCAATCCCGTGTGAGGTCCCAGCTCTGGTCTCAAGTCCAGTCGGGTCCAGAATTGGGGTTTACCTGGACCACAGTGCAGGGATTTTGGCGTTTTACAGTGTTTCTGAAAGTACCATGAGCCTCCTCCACAGAGTCCAGACCAGGTTCACTCAGCCTCTCTACACTGGAGTCATGCTGTCCTCGTGTAATCCTGGAAACTCTGTACATTTCCCTAAACTCAAATAGCACATTTGTTTCAGCCGATATAGATTCATTTTACATTTTGAGAAAGTCATGTCTTCTGACCTTATCTTCTAACTGATGTACTTGAGGAGAAAAAAATGTTTTACATTACAATCCTCATGTGTAATTACAAGTGTAGTCTGCAATCTAACTGTTAGCTGGTTTTCCACAGTTCACTTGATTTTCTTGTTTTAGATGTCAGGTTGTCACTCATCTCACTAAAAATGTGGAAAGTTGTGATGTCATCTGTAAAACCTCTAATGGCCACATGTCTGTGAAATCTGTAATAAAAGTGTTCTTAAACATTATTGTACAGCGTAATTACTTGGCATGTGTTTATTCTTCCCTCATAATTTACATTTTGCTCCAAACATGATTTTCTTATATGGAGGCAATTACTAAATAAACCTTTTAGGAAACTTTATTGCAATAAAACTGTATCAGTATCTCAGTTGTTTTTACATTTAAGTACTTTCAGGATTTATTAGTATGCAATCTAAACTGATCTTTTCTCTTCAAAAGATACTTTCATCCAGTTGACAAAGTGAATTTCTCCTTTGACAACTGAGGGATTTTACAAACAAACATCAAAAGATAGTGTGTTTTTCCTGGAGTTTTGTGTATAGTGCACCCCAGTGTTGACAGACCTGTAGTGACAGAACCCAGGGTGGTGTCTTGGAGCTGAGCCTGGTCCAGAGCCTTGAGAAATGTGTTCTGAGCTCCCTCTGTCCACTGTCTACGGACCGCATCATCTTTACCTGAAAAATGCAATGCAATTCAATATTGAGAATATTATTTCTGTTAAGTTAAGCAATTGATTTACTAACATTACTCCATTCTCTTCTCCAATAACGCCTCTTCTGTTTGTACCTTGCACAGTTTGGACAGTAGAAGCTGTGGCAGACATCACGTCCATATTGCCCAAAGCGTCCAGTAAGGTTTCAGGAATCCTCTGACTCCATCCTCTTCTCTGCTCCAGCCAATCACAGAGCTGCAGCTGTTCTCCGTCCTCAAAGTTCAGGGTCTGGTTCAGAGGGTCCACTTCCTACAGACATGAAAAATGCTTTCATATCATCCTCTGCACAACTCTAATCTATAACTTGGTCTGGTGGCATCAATTGCTTGTCTCCATGGAGACTGACCACTTTAATGCCATAATTATGGCACATCAGGAAGTACAAGTGTATCTCCAGAGTCAAGCTGTCAGCAGAGGGCACTGTTGCGTTAATTCATACAATAAATGTAGACTACTTTGTGTTAAAGTGCATATACCACATTTTCACGTGTTGTCAGTTTTACATCAGTTGAGTGAAATAATTGGTATTAAGTATAGAGTCTATTCTTTAATAGTGAAACTGAACTGCCAGAGAGATTGCAATCATTTAGGCAATACCGTAGTGAATAAACAACACAATATTCTGTTTCTATTGAAAAATTTAAACCTTGTAGTTTAGATGTCTACATGTAAAGATTTACATCAGATTTAGTTTTAGCAGCAGTTTATATTGCAGTCTTCTCTCAAATGTTTTAAAGGTGCACTGTGTATCTTTTCTGGTGGAGGGTCTGTCACCTGCTTCTCTCCATGGGGATATTGCCTGGAATCCACAGTATGGCATTAGACTAAGGCTGCATTCAGACTGCAGCCTGAAGTGACCCAAATCCGATTTTTTGGCTTCTGTGTGACCTGTATCCGATCTTTTAATGACCGTCTGAACGGCACAGATCCGAATTTTTCAAATGCGACCCAGGCCACTTGGATATGTGGTCCTGAATCCGATACATATCCGATCTTTTGACATGCAACTTCAGTCTGAACGGCCAATGTGCATCCATCCGACCTACACGTCATTAACAAGCGACAAACGTCACTATTCTGTGCTGAAGCAGGCGGAAACCGAACTGTAAAATCGCCAGGTGCTCAATGCTCGCGACCATATTTGGACAACTTCCGTAAACACAGAGCACGCTTGCTGCGGTTGACGCATGGGGTTGACGTCATCGTGTCCTCCAGTGCGCATGCGGGACACTTTCGGGCCGTTTACCGTTCACACTGAAGTCACAGACAAGTCGCATTTAATTGGAAATGTGAACGACCTCGCAAAAACATCGGATTTCACAAAAAAATCGGAATTGAGCATTAAGCCCTGCAGTCTGAATGTAGCCTTATTTATCTCTACAGAGACAGAAGGTGACACCACAGGGCCAAGTTACTGTACAGTAAGATGTAGAGAGGTGAGCCCATTTACAGTAAGAATGCAAGTTTTTAGGTAAATAAAAAACCCATGTCATTAAGTAAGATGGATACGTTTCCATTCCAGACAAAAACAATAACATCTCCAAGGAGACAAGTAGGTGGTGGACCCTCAACCAAAAAAGTTACACAGGCACCTTTAATCTTGATCCTGGATGTGTTTGATGACTTTTACCTCTTTCTGATTTCCATCTGTTTTCATGTCTTCATCTTTTGTCTCTTCCTCCAGTTCATTCAGTCTGATCTCAAACATGATTCCCCTCTACACAAAACACGTGTTATGACTGCGTTTAAATGATGCTGTACCATTCATTGTGAGTGGTAATAACTGTATAGTAGAAGTTGCTAGGTATCAAACTCAACTTGCCTGCTGTGAGGCGAAAGTGCTTACCATTCAGTCACTATATGGTTTTACTTACAATCATTTCATTAATAGTACAAAATTACACTTAATGTATTATATTACATATATTCATCTGATCAGTTAAATAAAAATGCTTGTGTTACCTTTCCCCTTTGCCTTTTCTCTCTTTTAGACTCTTTGGACTCCTGTCCGATCTGCCTCAGCGCTGCTTCAACATCCTGGCACAAAAAACAATACACACATGTGATATTTTACTTACTGACTTTATCAGTACTCAGGCCTCCCAGACTTTGTTTAAAACCTTTTTCCAGGATTTTCCAGGGCATTTTTAATTATATAATCCCAGTGTGATTAGATAACACCTTTTTCCAATTAAAGATGAAATCTAACTATACTCAGTGATAGCAAATGAATTAACAAATTAATCAACCTACTAATTATACTGATGTACTTTCACATTTATTCTCTTTGCATTGTGGCCTGACTACCTTGTATATTTTGACATAGATTACCAAAAGATTCTTGTGCTGAACTTGAAAAATAAGTGTAATTTTCTGTATTTTAGTGGGATTTAGACAAGTTTTTTTTAACTACTAACTGCTCTTGTTTACTGTGAGAGCAGTAACAGTCTCTTACTTATCCAATAATACAGCAAAGCTAAAGGGGGACAAATTTCAAGGACAAAATATATATGTCCAGAACATTTGGCACTTTATCAAATTTTGCATGTGTTTTTCATGTGTGGAAAACAGGCCAGTTATTGTCCAGGACATGTGGGAATCCTGATACTTGTTAATGAACAGTATAATGTCGTACCTGGTTTGGGGCTTGTGGCTGTTCACAGGCGGCTGGAGGCTCTGGATCTCTCTGAGGTTTCTCCACCACAGATGTCTCATGTTTATTCTGCTGCTGAACCAGGAACATAAAGATTTAGAGCAGCGTATTATAAGACACTGGGAGCTACTAACATAAAAATGTACTACAGAACTGGAATTCCTATTTCTGATATTTCATTATAAGCTACCACACATGTTTTTATTTTTGAAAAACTATAATGCAACACTTTTAACCCTTGTGTATGAGTCTGAATAATTGCAAATAAGTACAAGGCAATGTGTGGATGGGGAAAATAATTACATCAAACTATTTTAAGTTTAAACTAATGATGAGGGAAACCATGATAACATGGTTAAGCTATTATATTCCATAATATTATCAAGGGGCAGAGATGGGCAGGAACTTGACTGGAAACTGTAAAGATTACTGTGCATACGTTCAAAGCAAAGCTGGCTGCACTTGGTCACTTGTGTTCAGCCAGCAGCAGCTGACACTCATTGTATTGCACGATTGGTGCTGTGCTAGACACAAACCTCAGCCTCAGCTCTCTGCTTCATCTCCTTCACATCCTGATGATACTGCAGTCGGATCAGCTCTAGCTGACGCAAATACTCCTGATAATGAAAGAACATAAACAGACGGAGGGTAAGAGATAATTCATCAGAAACAAGGTTACATTTTCTATTTTATCAAGATTCTTGGAGCTTTATATTGCGTTTAAAAGTGCATTATGCAACTTTCCTGATGAGGGGTCTCCCACCTGCTTGTCTCTATGTAGATGTTATTTGATGCTTTGACTCAAATGTTCTACAGTATTTCATTAAACATATCTTGCTATCATTTGTTTCAATACAGTATTTATTGCTCAAAATAACTTGGAGAAACATGCATTCTTACAGAGAGCTGGGTCACCTCTCCGCAGATCTGACCTGTAGCTAAATAAGTTAAATTTTATGGAGTGGAATATTCCAAGCAAGCCAAGAAGATCTCCAATGAGATAAACAGGTGGCAGACCCTCTGCCAGAAAAGTTACTCTCAGAAAAGTTAGAGCACCTTCAAAAAGAATTAAGACTATCTGCTATTATCTGCATGACAGAGGAGTGGGTGTGAATGGTACATCATAATGTCCACTCCTGATAAAGACATTATAATATTAGCACCATCACTATGACTGCTCATCTTATAATATTGATGGTCTTTACTAGTTGTCTGTTTTGTTTCTTGTCATGTGGAATGTGTTGGTTTGGTCCCATTTCGTTCATGTGGCCTCCAGGCCTGCGGGAGTGCTCTGCTGTGGATGGACGTAGACCCTTAAAAACAAAAGATCAATTAGCAAAGCATGATTGAGTTTGATACCTAGAGTTATGTTTTGTGTCATTTGTACAACATGTTTGAGTCATCCTGTATATTAAATTCTCTGTTCCACCTGCTGATGTCATAATGTGGTGCTTTTAAAGTCCACACTCCTTCACTGGACTGCTTTCACTATGAAACATGTCAAAGCCATTGTTTTGTATTGCATTGTTTTTAGTCACATTTAACTGTGCTTTGCCCTGCACCTAGACCTGCTTTCCATCTAGTTATGTTAATTTATAAACATATAATACCAGTGCAGAAGCGTTCAAAGAATTATAAAGACCTGAATATCTATCTATGTCTGCAGTGGACCTGTCACAATAACTCATTTTGAAGTGCGATATATTACTGAAGAAAATATAGACAATCAACGATAATACTGAAACTACTACAAATATTGTAAATGTACACAAACTGGAATAAATAAATGGCAGATATGACACTTTTGTTATTAGTTTGTATCTATATTGAGTTATTAATCCAACATTTCTCAAACTGACCGCCAAAAATAATGGTACCAAGTTTACACTGAGACTATGGTGGCACAAGAGATCCATATTTCAGTACAATACAATATATGGAGAATATGTGATTTTCTGGCTCTGCTGATAAATAAATAAAAAATATAGTTACTTCTAACACTTTTACCAATTTTTACACTATAGTGCCAAAATCTGACTGTGAGCGAGGACCATAGAAACACTGGTTCCATCTGTCATGTATAGGACGATAAGTGCATATAGTGATTATTGTGACAGGCCTAGTCAGCAGATATAAATGTACGTGATATGCTTTTGAACCTCACCAGCTGTTTCTCTGCTCGAACCTTGTACTGGTTTGCCTCTTGTCTTCTTTGTAAGTATTCATTTCTCGCCGCAGCCACACTGAAAAACATTACTACAGGATAAAAATACAGTCTTATATCAGGGGATGAGCCTGTAAAAAGGAGCATCTAAACACACTAATGAGGATCTAGCAAATATGAAAATCAGACGCCTAAACAGGACCATACATACATCCGTACACCTGCATTGATCACAGGCTCCTAAATTTTTAATCCACTTTTTATTTTGAGTTTTCAGATAATCTAAAAATGTGTCAGGCTATGCTACTGTGTCCATTGTGTCACCATGGTAACTGCTGAACATTCTGCCATAGACATAACATGCAGGCCTCTCAGCGTGAGGTAACTGCAAAGTATCAATACCAAATCATGTATTCTCATTTTAAAAACCTAAAAGTGTACTTGCTCACAGTTGGTACGGCTCGGGGGCTTGCTCCTCTCTGTGTCTGGACTCAAAGGCATCGAGCTGGGCGTGATAGTGGAGATATGGGTCCCCCGCTGGCTGCTCGGCTCTATAAAAATATAGATGCAAGAGAAAATAATGATAATAATAATGTATATATATATAGTGCTCAAAGTCGCTTTTTCAAACACTCAAATCACTTTACAATCTGACCACCACCATCAGTCAGGCACACACCACGTTCATACTAGACAATGTGTTTGAAGTGTCTTGCCAAAGGACACATCTGGTGCTCCACAGTGACCCCTGATTTTCCCAGCAGTCTCTAACCAGGCCCAACCCTGCTTAGCTTCTGAGATCTGATGAGTTCAGACTTGGTTGTGGCCAAATGGTTGTGGACAACTGTAAAATTGTGTAATATTTTTTGTCTAATAGATCAAATGGGTGATTGAGTTGTGCTTACCTTGGCTTCTCTCGAAGTACAAATTCCACATTATGAGGATCAGCTGCTTGCACCAGTCTGTGATGAAGAGGCTTTGAAGAGCAAGAAATTACAGTTTTAGAAAACACAAAACCAAAACCACAAAAAAATACTGGTTTAAAGTTGGATAATTAACTGTGCTTTGCCCTGCAACTAGACCTGCTTTCCATGTAGTTATGTTAATCTAAAAACATATAATATCAGTGCAGAAGTGTTCAAAGAATTATAAAGACCAGAATAAAGCATCTCTCTATGTCTGCAGTGGGCCTGTCTCAATAACTAATTTTGAAGATGAAGAGACTCTGAAGAGCAAGAAATTACAGTTTTAGAAAACAAAACCAAAACTACAAAAAATACTGGGTTTAATATGGGAAAAGTTGGAGTCTTCACACACTCTTCCAGCAATGATGTGTTTAAAAAAGTTGAGTACATGAGTTAATATAGAGATGAACTATTTATCCAATTCATTTTAAACTAGCCAAGCAAATACAAAAATCTATTTTCTAAAGTGAAATACTTGATTAGTATACAACACATCCCTATAGCTGATGTATGCAAGAGGACAGTCTGCCAAGATGTTTGTTTCATTGTTGTTGCTGTTGAAATTTGAATTTCCTTCAGGATCAATAAAGTATCTCTATCATGGCCAAATTTCGGATGAACCATATCTTTTTGAGAGCAATTTTCTAGTATGAGGTCAAACTAATGTAAAATTTTAACCTCTGTCTTCTGTGCTAAATTTGTTGCTAAATCAATGGTTATATTTTCAGTCTATAGTCTGATTTCACTCACATGTGGGCAAATGGTCTTCAGTGACAAATTAAGGATATTTAAAAATGCTAGATTGATGAAAACAACAAAGTAACATGTTTTATAAGTTCACTTTCATTTTTACATTCTGTACCATCCTCCCTTTTGTTCCCTGCGCAAAGTCACATCCCCTTCAGAGCGCTATCACGACACAAACAATGTGAATCCCACTGATAATAATACACATCCTGTGAGATTTGTGAAGTTGTTGTGTACAGTTTCGTATCATGTTTTTGTATATTTATGGAGAATCATCGTGTGGTAGCATGGATGGCTTGTAGAATGAGCATTGCACAGAATTTTAAAGTTAACTGTGAGGAGGGTTGGAATTGTGAATATTGAGAGAATGCAAAATTTCTCAAACAAGCATGGAGGACATCTAAAACCTCTTTAGGTAAATTTTTGACGAGGGAACGTTATAACAGTGTAGGTGTTATGGTCGACAGCAAAAAAAAAAAAAGAAAAGATGCGTAACATTGAAAAGGCATAGAATCCATATGTTCTAAGTGGTTGTTCCAGGCTGTAAAAGCTAATGCAGGGATTACAAATGACTCCTTTGTCTCTCTCACTTTGTGTTGGAGCGGTGTATGAACTCTATGAGGGATTTTCCAGTCCGGTTTCTTTATCACTGCCCTCTCCTCACCTCTGGGACTTTGCACTTTTTCTACAAACAACAAAAGCAAATATTATCATACATTCATTCAGATGTTTGATTTTACCTCTACTAATACTACTGCTACTGTATTGAAACAAGTTAAATAAAGCTTGATGAAATAATTAAATAAATCTAAACTACTAAATATTCCAGTGCTCCTGATGGGTTGCCCCAGTGGCATTAAAGGATGGGTCAAATGCAGAAGACACATGGGGGCAATAAAATGTACCTTAACCACAGTCAAAACCAGGATTTCCATTTACTTTTTGCAGTGTAGTATGGTTGAATTAAATTGCTTGTGTAACATGTAAACCACAGGAAGTGCAAAGAGATTAGATAAACATGTTACATAACCTGGCACTGCAGTGACAGTGCCCTTTTCAAAAATGTGTGGTCAAAACATGCACGCACAATAGAACTGTACCCGCACACATCATGCAAAGTGCAGTATGCAAGGACAAATGCTGCAGAAAATCACCTCTGGGGCTTCAAACTCCACTTTAAATCTAATTGTGTCACCTTTTAATTTTACCTAGTATTTGAGCTGGACGCACTGATGGTGGCGCTTTGTTTGGGACCGGAACTGTATGTCTTGACTTGTCCTGCCAAAAAAAAAAAACGTAATTATATTTACAGCATGTCTATCATTTTTCACACAATAAAAAGTCATAGTGTTGTTGTTAATGTTAAATATACCGTATTTTCCGCACTATAGGGCACACTTAAAAGCCTTTAATTTAATCAAAAAAAGATTGCGCGCCTTATAATCCAGAGCGCCTTATATATGAATTTATTCAGGTGTTGCACCACTTGCAGCATTACGGCTCCCGTATTCAGGAGCATCGCGGAGTAATACATTACAGTAGTTTTTTTTACGCGTTACAATTGAACAAAGTTGAGAATTATTGTGAACGTGTTAAATAAAGTTTTACTGACTTATCTAACTGTTCTGTTTTGTTTAATGCGTCTTATAGTCCGGTGCGGTTTATATGTGAAAAAAGTTTGAAAATAGACCATTCAATCCAGCGTGCCCTATAGTGTGGAAAATACGGTAATGCAATCCCATTTCCCTGCCTATATTATGGTTGTCGACTCATTTTTAAATTAAATGATAAAAAAGTAAATGAGGAATTACCCAGACATTTACAAAATATAATCTTCTGAGTCACAAAATACTCGCAATGTGGAAACTGTGTACACTGGATGTGCTTCATATTTACTGCAACTACAAGTCTCATTTATGTGAGTGGAATGGGTGGAAGTATCTTGCCCATGGAGACAACAACTGTATGACTCAGGTGAGAATTGGAGCTTGAACCACACTCTTGTTGGAAGGTGACTGTTATGGCCTGCACCACTGTCACCAACATGAAAGCAGTAAGTAACCCAAAAAATGATGAGCGTACCAGGTAAATAATATTACATAGCCACTTACACAGTCACCATCTTGTGAAAGTTTGAAGTTGACTTCAACGATAAGGTTGAAATGTCTTGCCCAAGGATACAACAACAGTAACTCTAATAACACTGGTATGCACATTGTAACTTTGTTATTTATCACTATACCTGTTCTTCCAGATGTCTGCTCAGATGTTTCTCTAAAAATGGCCGCTTGAGCACAGAGCTGACAGAGGGACGATCTCGAGGGTTCACCTGTAAAAAGGATTATTGAAGGTGCATTGTGTAACTTTTCTTGTGGAGGGCCCGTTAAATACTTTTCTCCATGGAAATGTTATTCATCGAATGTTTCACAGTTAGGTATTAAACCTTTCTATCATCATGGAAACCAAACCAGGCCCAGTTACATGTCAGATCTGTGGAGAGGCAGCTCCACTTACAGTCAGAATGCCTGTTTGTTTGTTTGGTTGGTTGTTTTTTTTTTAGATATAAAACCACCTGTAATTGAATAAATGTAAGGTAATTAAGGCTGTTTAATGTCATACTGTGGAACATTCCAGGCAGAGCAATGACAGAGGAACAAGCAGGTGACGGACCTCCACCCAAAAAGTTACACATTGCACATTCGAACAAAACATTGTATTTTTATATATTTATTTCATTTTTGTCACAAACCTTAAAAAGCTGAGTAATGAGGAGGCGCAGGTCGTAGGAGTATCGAGCAGGCACTGGGATGTAGCGCCCCCTACAGATCTTATTGACCAACTGCCTCAGACTGCTGCCTTCGAACTAGAGAGAGCAGAGACAGAAATGCAAAATGAAATGCCTCCTTTCTGAATCTATACTACAGTGTCACAATCTGGAGAAGTGTATAGAGAGGATTTGTTCAAGGAGACCATGAATGACTGCGATTATTCAAAAGGACTTACTGGATGTCTGAGCATACAGAGTTCATATAGGACACAGCCCAGAGACCAGATATCGCTGTAAAAGAGAATTATTAAGTTATTATTATGTCATTAGAAGCTTTAAAATGTAGTATAAGTCAAGAGAACTACACAGCATTTTTAAACACTTGTCGAATTTGAGAGCTAAATCTTTTAACGGGGCACTGGCCTGTAGTGGTTTGTGTAATTAGGCAAGACACTTCACCCACCTATATGTGTGTATAAATGTGTATGACTCTTCTTGATAGTGCTTTAGTGCTATAATAACTTACGTCTTGTTGTTGTAGGGCCGATTCTCACAGATTTCTGGAGACAGGTAATAGGGAGTCCCCACACAGGTCCGAGCCAGTTCCATGGTGCTGTGGATTTAAACCACATTTCATTGGTCCTTTGTTGTGGACTATAGCAGAGACTGAATCAGTACAAGCAAACATTACATTTACCGTTTATTGACTGAGTGTGTTTTTTATTTTATTTAATGGTGTTAAATGACTGGCGGAGATAATTCAAAGGATAATATTTTTATCATAACATTTGACTCTGTGTGTGTGCTGTATGTAAATATTGGGCTCTTTCAACACTTTATGAAGTGTCAAACAGGAACAGGCTGGTGTGAAGTTGCTGAATTTGCTCAAAGCTTTAGTGGAAGTTCGAGAAAGCTGAGTCATGAAAAATTGCTACTATTTTGCAGATTCAGCATTTAGAAGCTTTTGCAATGAAGAGATGCTACTTGTCAATTAAATTACAGGGAAAAAAACCTTCTAACTGCTATCTGTTCAAACTGAGTCTTGACGTCTGAGCAAATGAAATGCTACAGTTGCCATTAGGGAGACTTCTTAGTAATGAAATGACCAGAATGAATTAGGTCAGAGCTGTCAAGTCAAACTTTAAAAACAGGGAGGACCACTCCCCCACATAGCACTGGATGACATTATGATGTTTGAAGCTCTGAAGAAGGACACAACCTAAATATGCAGGATTACTCAACTATAAGTCAATGAAATGAAACACCACTCCGGGGGTGTTTTGTTGACTTAAAGGGCTTCAAGGATTTTTTGACAAATACTCACTTATTCAACATTCTTGCGATGCCGAAGTCTCCAAGCTTCACTCTGGTCCCTCTATTAGTTAGAAAGATGTTCTACACTCAGACCAGAGAGAGCATGTATGTGATTGTCCGATACAAAGAGATAAAAACAGTACCAAGTAGCACAGACAGGTGTACCTTACTTCCACTCACTGAGGGAAGTGAATGAATAATGCATAAAATTGAGAAGCGTCTGGAAAAGTGCTACATATTAAATCTGGTGTAGTCAAAGTACTTGTAAAATAATGTTAAGTATGTATTTTTGTATGTGGCTATGGAGAATCTTTAAATACCTGAGTTTTGATGTCTCGATGCAGGATCTTCTTGTCGTGAATGTGTTTGAGGCCAAGACAGATCTGAACAAACCAGTCTAAAATCTACACAAAAATACAACTACTTTCAGTTGGCAAAGCACTTCAACACAACTATGCATTTTAACATACCTGCTGCTCAGTGAAGGCAACTCCCCTCTGCGTATTAATTTTTCTCATCAAATCTCCTCCGTCACAGTACTCCATCACTATGTACAAGGAGCCCTTCTCTAGAAAGACATGAAAATCATTTAAATATATATATATGCTCAGTATGTATTTAAAATGTGTAAAATATATACATTTAAAAAACATTAGTCAAACCTTGAAATGAGTCGATAAATGCCACTACATTAATGTGCTTCATCTGGGAAAGCAGCGTCACCTCTTTTTTGGATGCTTCTTTTTCTTTCGCCGACATCTGAAAGAAACATGGAATATATTTAAACTGCCTTTGACAGCTGGAAGATGAATATATTTAAGCTTTTACTAAAAAAATAACTTTTTTCCCCAATTTGACAATTTTTTTGTTTTCAAATTTGACTGCTTCCACAGAGCAGAGACTAAGCAGGGTGTGTGTGGGGTCTGTGAGCCTACAGCAGCAGTATTTATCCAGGACTCGACTGGCTTCAATTCAACCACCTTTTTGTTCTAATAAAAAAACACTCACATGTGTCACAGTGCTGCTCTGCTCACTTCCTCTGTCACTTTTTTAATAGCTGAAGTTTTTTAACATGTTCAAACAGTAAAACAAACATGCACAGTAACTATTGTAAACTCACTCCACGCACTGTCCCCGCAGAGGACAGGAGCAAGGATTGTAGTTTCTGTGATCAGGCCAAGGAGCTAAACGTGTTATCATCAGGCACTGACTGCTTTCTAAATGCTGTAGTACTATTCATCAGTGACTATAGCAGCAGCTTGTTTAGTGCATGTGGACTCACTACTGTAGAAGAACCTCCCTGTTTCATTGGTCATTGCTTATTAATTCATAAATACAAACTCAACATTTACTTTTATAGAGGGACATATGTGGTTTAACTACTCTAAAGGCTGACTACCCTACTATGTGACCATCATGTGACAATAAAAGTCTTTGCTAAACCACTACCTGTGCAAAGTGAATAAGAAATACACCCCATTTTAATCATAAACACAGTGACTGTGTCACTCATAATATTGATATGGTATCATCAAATTAAGCTATACTATATAACAATATTTCAATATTTATTTATTCAAGAAAAGGGGAACAGTGCATATTAAAGAACACATTCCATGCACACTCCCAGTGCCAAAGGTCTGCTTCTCCAAAAGTTGATTGTACTACTTAACCAAACATTTAAAAATGTAACTCTAAAATAAATAATAGATATAAATAAATGACTAGAACTTGCCTTCCTGAGACTGATCTGTTTGACCACACACTGGGCATTGTCACCTCCTTCTTTGTCCCGCACCAAAAAGGCTTTTCCGAATGCTCCCTCTCCAATCTGCCGGATGACTTCATACTTGTTCATCCCACCTGCAGACTACAACAAATTAAAAAATATGACAAAATAAATAAGTAAAATTTGAATTATTATTGTAATAGGCGGTGAATCACCAGATTCCACAGGTTGTGCAAAATAAATGAAAGCACTCTCACAAACATTAGCTAACATTTAGATCAGTGTTTCCTTTGATTATGGTGGAACAAATAATTTTTATTTCAATAATTTAATCTCCTTTCATTTGTGGAATATATATGTCATGTACTGCCTATATTTAATCTTTAACCAGTCAACATGATATCAGTTTCATTGAACTGTTAAATGAAAAATACTTACATATTCCAATCAGCTGTATCTACTAATTGCTTGAAAATATACAGGACAAGGTCTAACTAGTGATTTTAGCAAAAAATTACAAATGTGGTAATGTTTTATTCACAAAATGTAACACAAAATGAAGTGGATGAAATTATCTGATTTGCTTAAATATAAGCTTTTCCTCATAATAAATAAAATATTATCTTAAGTTAGCTGTCAACGTGATAAAAAATAAACAAATAAATAAATAAATAATAAAATAATTTAAAAAAAGGGAAGTTAGCTAACGTGAAGTAGCCCGCTAAGACAACATTAACATCAGAGTCTGATTCAAATCTAAAATGACAAGCAAAAACATTGAACAGTGAACAAAAATATATCTAGACCTTAAATGTGACGTGTTATCATTCCGCTTTTTGAAGCTGGTTTTCGAAAGCCGAATCGATTCTAGAATCCTGATGAACCCGTTGCCATGGAGACAAGCACACAGCAGCTCCGGTTGTTAGCGTCGCAAAGTTAGCTCATTTAGCTCATTTAGCAAAAACTTGCCAAAACTGGTTTAAATGAGCATTGTATCCTAATAAATACGTGTTAAATTGACTTACCTGTGCATTGAAAAGGAGGTGGATATTTGAGAACACCTGCAGCTTATTAAAATTGATGTGGACGGTCAGGAGGAGATGTACAGAAAAGAACGTGATATTTCTGATGGGAGTTGTAGTTCTTAGTGGAAAGCTAATTTGTAGGCAAACAATGGATAAAATGACCAGCAGGTTCAAAGAGGCAAGCAGACTACTGAGTAATGTTTGTACTACGAGTGAATTATTATTTTTTCAGGGCACTTGCTTAGCCTTAGCTACCTATTTATGGGGGGAAAAATAAATAAAAAATAATAATTACCAGTTAAGAATCGTTAAATAAAAGTTAAGATTTTTTTTTTCATGCACAGAGAAAGCAGCCTACATATGATTATGACTGATAATAAAAAATAATTAGTAAATAAATCAATTAATAAATAAATAGTGTGATAATGTTTGTGATGTCTGCCAGCTGAGTGGAAAAAGTACACATTTTATGAAGCTTTTGCTAGATGTCTGCCCAAAATATAATAGTCATTGTGATTAAAATAACCTGTTGAATCATGAGCTCATTCCTAATAGGCCCATACAAAGTTTTATTACACACACTTGCGCCGACTTGAAGCTGGAATAGAAATCCTGGCTCCTGTTTGCTGTTCTGTCATACTGGCAGACTCAACTTTCCCAAAAGTTCAAAAGACATTGCACTTTGCTTTAAATTGTTTATTACTATTGCAACAGTTCGTTTTTGGTTTTTTGTTGTTGTTTTTTTCAGTATTTCTTAAACTTGTTGATACAAACTGTGAAGGTGACTCTACCCACCTGGAGTTTACCCATGATTCCCTGGTGCAAAGTCAGCTGATTATAGAGATTTAATCAGGACATTTCCACAGGGATCAAATGACAAAGAGAGACAGGTGATCCGCTGTGAGGACAGAGGAGGCTTGGCCAGTACCAGACACCACACAGAGAAGAGGTTAGAGCAGCAATACAAGGTTAACCTTTCAAGTGTGTGGAGCTGAGATCTTACTGCTTTTAACACGTTACTACAATTACAACTTAAACCTAGGCGAATAACAACTTAAGGTATTTAAGAAAAATATACTTAAAGATGTATTAATGTAGCTTCTCTGGTTGTTATTGCATTGCCTCAAATGCTCCAATGTATGGCATTCATCTTATCTAGTTTCCTTTTTTCCCTCCAGGCCCTTTACAGGCCCTTTCATAATGCTATAAATGAATTCTTGCAGTGAGAGGGGTCCCACTCCACAGATCTGGCCTGTAACTTTACCCGGTGGCGTCACACACAGGGGTCTCTACAGAAATGGTCATAACTCAATGCTGTGGAACATTCTTCACAAATGCAAAACATCTCCATGCAGATGCCCTTATAATTGCTAGCCTCATTTAAATGGAGGTCAAACACTGTGGGCGACATCACGCTCCATTAGTCCATGTCTTTATACAGTCTGTGGTTAAAACTAAAAAACTCTCATAATAATCAAATCTGGAGTGCACATGTAATCGCAGTCACTTATGTCACCAATTAAAAAACAAAAAAATGTGGTTAAGTCTACAACAAAAATACCTATTCAGTTTCTTCTGATAGTTACCTAGTTTGATAAGACTTAATAAGATTCATCAATATATCTTAAAACCTATGAAAACACTGTGAAGGGGAATTGAAACAGTCTATGTCCAAAATATATCCAAAATACTGATACTCTGCAGTGACATCACACAGGGCATACATGCATCTACACACAACTCTATTGGCAGAATGTTAGATATGGTGACAAAATGCACACATTTGCAAATACAGACAAAAAAGTTTTACGATTGTCTGAAAATTCAACACAAAAAAAAAAAAAACAACACAAAATGGATTTAAAACAACACATTTTCAGGAGCCTGTGAACAAAACCAGTATTTATAGTCCTGTTTAGGTGTTTGATTTTCAACAAAGAGGTGAGCGTGACCTGTTTAAGATCCAGCCACATCTTTCACGTCTTTCTGGTCAGACTGTGTTTAAAATAAAACTCATATTGAAGTGTAACTTGAGTGACAAAGCTTCAGACTGAGCAGTGCCTAGTTTGCATCCCACAGCCACAGAATGTTGATGACATCAGCTGTAAAGTATCGATTCAAACAGTATTAGAAAAAAACAGTCACATTTCCAGAAGTATTCCTCTCTTTATTGAGTAGATCTGTGCATATTTTAAAGAGATTATACACACAATTAGTTAAACAGACAAAGTTATTCAAAAATACACATTCAAAACACAATTCACAGAAAACCCTCAAAGACCATTTTATTCAAATATAAAACAGTTAAATTAAGTCTTTTTTTTTTTCAGACATAGAAAGTGTTGCAGTGTTAAAAGCTACAGCAGACAATAACAAAGTCCCTATAAAAGTTTTATCTTTGTAGAAAAAAGCAATTTCTAAGAAAATACATAGGTGCAATTATTTGATTACAATAATTTACTGTTTAACACACAGTCGAATATTTATAGCAAGTTATGGAGTGTCTTTAAAAGGACTTGAGTCTAAACCAGGTCCAACCCAGATCTAACCCAGGACTAAACCAGGACTAACCCAGGTCTGACCCAAAACTAAATCAGGTCTAACACAGGATTAGACCAGGACTAGAGTACATCTGCCAGACATGGACTACTGCATTTTGCCAGAGCAGGGTCACGTGTGAATGAAGCTAGAACTAATTTCTCTGCATTTTTGACCTGACAGTTTCCCGGGTAAATCACTCATGTGGTTTCACAAGTTATGAGCTTAGTTTCCTGGTTACGAGCTTGGTTTCCTGGTTGTGAGCTTGGTTTCCTTGGTTAAGAGCCTGGTTTCCTGGTTACAAGCCTGGATTTCCCTGGATTATGAGCTTGGTTTCCTAGTTATGAACCTGGTTTCCTTGGTTACACAACCTGGAGCATTTTGTACCTAGCAACTTTCTGGGATATATATGTGAATGGGACTTAATAACATAATTATTAGAATGTTTTACAGATGTATTTTCAAGTAGCTTTTTGAATCACTGTTTTGCTTATTTTGAAGCAACGCTTACTTGAGTAACATTTTTATATCTGCTTGACCAAAACTTATAAACTCAAGTCCTTAAAAAGACACTATGAAAATCCCCAGAAATCAAACAAACTCTCTGTAAAAATAAAGTGGAAAATACACTCTCCTCCCTCTCCTTTTCTCCAAACCAAACAAATTATCTTGTCTTTACACACTGCAAAAAATGAAAATCTGGACGAGTTAAAAATCACTTGAATTCAAAACAGAAATCTTAACTTTGATTTTTAAAAATTTAACTTTACTTGACTTGACTTTACTTGGACTATTTGACCTGTTTCACAACTATTTTGTTTCAGTACATCCAAGCTTAATTATTGCACTTTGTTGACAGATACATTTTTGTAATTTGGTATTAGTTAAAACATGATAATAGGATGGAAACAATTTCAAATGTTATACAAAATACTTACTCATTGAAACAGGACATATGGAAAAATTAAGGTATTAGTAATTATTAGTATGAAAAGTGCAAATTTAAAAAAATAATAATGTAATTTTGTAATAACATGAGCCAATAAGATGCCAACAGAGCTTTATTCCAGTTACAATTCTTTCTACGTCTTATTACAATGTTATTATTATGTAGTAAAGTAAAGTGCAGCCTGTCAGGTCATGAAAGAGTTAAACAATTAATATAAGCAACGGAATACGCTAGCTAAGTAAAAGCAATTGTATTATGACTTCAAGTTTCCGTATGTTAGATATTCATTTTTGCAGTGTAGAGAGACTGAGAAATGCAGGTGAGGTGTGAAAATGTGACAAACGCACGCAGGAGCCCGAGTTGCAAGGTTTAAACCTCACAAATCATCGTCTCCACCACAACGTTTTTCCCGAAATGGCGGATCTTGTGGCAGTTCAGGGCCTCACGTTTTTGTATTCCTGGAAAAGAAGAAAAAATCGTCCAGTTAACTTCATGAAAAAAAGAAGAGTAAAAGGCTAAATATACAAATTAACAACTCAAAATTTCAAACTCGATTTTAGTACAAAGGAATAGACTTGGTACTCAATACGGATTCTGATATCTCCATTTTGTAATTTTCAAGATTTAAACAGTGCTCTATGGAAGACAATTTGTTTCATCAGCTTTTGAATTTTAAATGCTGTTGAATTTCTCACTTTAATATTTTTTACTCTGAAAATACATGTTTGAATTATTTCTATTATGAATTTTTGTTTGCTGAAATTTTAAGCGTATATTTTCAGTGTATAAAATTCAATATATATATAAAAAAAAATCTCCTTTTAAATATTCAGCACAAATATTTTTAAGACTTCAAATTCAACAGTCAAAATTCAGAGTGTAAAATTTGCAGTGAAGAAAATTCACAGTAAAGCTCCAGATGCCAAGGCAGAAGCAATCAATCCAAAGTGATCCGATCTAACTTATTAAGAAACAGGAAATAGTGCAGTGACACGAGCTGATCGGTCAAAATTTACCTCATCAAAACCTCATCTCTTTAATTTCTTAAGTGTAAACCCCGCCCACAGATGAGAACAGCCAATAGGAAACGGCCTCTGTCCTCGATGCTCACATGATCGATTGCTTCTGCCTTGGCATCTTGGATCTTTGCTGCAAAATTTTTCACTGCGAATTTTACATTCTGAATTTTGACTGATGAATTTGAGGGCTAGAAAATATTGTTTATTTTGAATTGAAAGTAAACTTCAAATTTCAGCCACTAAAACTCTGAATAAAAATAATTCAAACATCTTTTTTCAGAATTAAAAAATTCAAAGTGAGAAATTCAGTCGTATTTAAAATTCAAAATCTGATGGAACAAATGATCTTTCATAGTGCTCCATGGGCGTATACTACTGTAGTCTATGTGCTCTTATACTTGTTCTGATACAGCTCAAGATCATCCTAAAGACATTCAGGAAAGATTCATTTTAGTCCTGTGGATGTGACCTATAAAATGAGTATAATATACATAGTTTCAATACTAGTTTCAGTATCTGATTTTCGACACTTTCGATACTTTTGACAACCCTAATCTCTCTTCAAACCTAAATTAGCGGCCACTATTAAGCAAAGGTACAACATATATGTGAGTGAAGCTTCATCGTTACCCAGGATCCTGTCTCGACGCTGCAGTCTGAAGGTCTCTTTGCCGCGGCACAGGTTGTAGATGAAGTAGCCGAGCTGGTTCACGTTCTCGATGCGTTCGGTCACCACCATCTCCTCATGCACCAGGTACGACTGAGGCAGGTACGTCCCGGCCTGAGGAACACACGCGAATCATGATAAGGTTCAACATTTGACATCACGCGAGAGTGGGTCCACGAAAACAAGACAAGATAAAATTTTTACATTATTTAGGCTATAATAAATACAGTGTGCAATTCAGTTCCCAATTTTACCATCACAATTTTTGATTTACTTTACTGAATATTTCTGCTGTCATTGCAGAACTGCTTTTTGGGACAACGCATTCTCAAAAAATTTAATTCGCTGGTGCTGTTTTTTCCAATCCAAGTGTAAAAACAAGAGGAAAAAATCTCATGAGATCATGTTTACTATGTGTGCACAATCTTGCCGAGATCTTGTCCCATTTTTAGCAAACACAAAAAACTCAAGAAAACACAAAATGGAATAAAACAATGCATTTTCAGGAGCCTGTGATCAATACAAGTGTTCATTGTCCTGTTTAGGAGTTTGATTTAGTAGATTTAGTTGATTTAGTTAACATCACAACCCCAGGGACTGTTGATGACATCAGCCGCAAAGCATCAGTAGGCCCCTGCTCTTCGTCTGAAATTATGATATCATCAATCCTATGATTTCCAGAACGTGAACCCACCTTAGGGCAAGGTTCAACGAAATGTTTTCATAAAAAAATTGTAATGAGTACAGGTTTAACACTCAACCTACAGCAATACTTAAAGTGCATATGACTTTCATGTGGTGTTCATGTATTTCTCATTCTGACTTGGTTTGGTGGGTGAGTAAATGAGATGACTATTTATGATAGTTTTACATTACTTAAGTGCCAGTTTATGGAAAGAGCTGACAAGAAGAGCACAAAACTACAGGAAGTGGTGAGTTCTAATCTGTCTCCTAATCTGTCATCAACACGGAAAGTTCCATACACAATGCAGACATTCTTCTGACAAATTAAACATTCATTTAACAAAATAAAGGTGTTGTCATTTATTTGTATTTGTCTAATTATAACTATTGTGCAATTTCTACTTAAAATTTTGTTTACATACAGTATGGTTGCTGGGTAAATTTGCTGGTTGGACATAGAAATTATTGTAATAAGATTATTTACTGGTCATAGTCGGCCCAGAAAGTCTCATAAAGTGTGAACTTTTATTGATACAAAGTTGTTCTGTAGTTTGGATTTGGATTTTATTTTAGTTTTAAGGAAATATATGCTGTTTTCAGTCTCTGCACTGGTATCGGTCAGTATCAGCAAATACATAAAGCTATAGTGTGGATCGGTGCAACCCTAGATAGAGCTAGACTCTCTTGAATGGATTAAATCCTAATGATATCACATTCAAGGTGCATTCAAACATGTGAATGAAACTCAACTTTACTTACTTAAACAGAATATTAAGACATTGCTTTGCACACATGTCTGTGTAAGTTACCTTGACGTTGACGAGCAGCTCCAGCAGGTCTCTGGGGGGCATCACGATGGAGGTGTTCAGGGGGATGACGTAGCACTTATTCAGGCTCAGGTCCAGGTAAGCGGTCAGCATCTGAGGGACAGACGAGCAGCTTTAATCACAGACAGACAGGCATGGTACAGTAACAAATAATGTTAAATTAATTTTTGATATAGAAGATATTGCAATCAATTATAATACTGAACTTACTAACAAAAAAGGTTCTGTGTCTTGATATAAACAAAAAAGAGCAAGGAAAAGGTTGTACTCAGAATATGAATACAGAAATACAGTACATGGTTATAGACTTCCTACTGAATTAAGCCCAGCCGACTTATTCAAAGGTTGTGCATTGTGCACTTGACATTAAATGACTCTGTTATTCAACATATTAAAATATGAATTTAAAAATATGTATTTAGTAAACTTTATGACCTATATGCTTGTATCATATTGTACTGTGGTCCTTGTATGGGGTACACATTGTATCGTGAGGAACTTACACAGATCGAAACATATGGACCAGCTCTCATATATTTTAAGTGCATATAGCAGGGTAGACTATTCATTTCAACAACATTGATATTTAAGATTTTACAAAAATATATAGCCAGTTTTTATTTTATTTATTTATTTTTTTGGTGAAGTTTATAATTTGTCTTCCTGGTTGAGCATGGGCAGCAGATATGATGTCAATAACTGTTACCTAGCAACTGTAATAACAACCTTAATGTCTGATACATATAGGGATGCATCAACTGGTATCACATATCAGCACTGACATTGAAAATTTTGATGGATTTGATATTGGTCCCAAGATATCAGTGAAGAAATTGTGTATTTGTGTGTTTTGACTGATGCCTGGCCCATACATCTTGTATTAGTGACCAAAGCAGTTCTGATAAATAACAGTCACGAAACACACTTAAGTCATATTTAACAATACACTCCTTGGTGCTCAAAGAAAATCAATTATATTTTCGGTCTCTGCCCTAGTATCGTCTGCTATCGGATATCAGCTTTAAGATTAAAGGCAAAGTATCGACATCAGCAGAGGAACAGAAAAAGTTGGATTGATGCATCTCTTGCCAAAACGTATGATTAGACTAAGAACATTTATTTTTTGTGCACTTTAAAGATGCACTATATAACTTTTCAGTTACATCATCTTCTTGTTTCTATGGAAGTATCTGTGCTTGGTCTGCTTGGAATGTTCCACAGTGTGACATTAAACAGCACTACCTTATATTTATTCAATAACAGGTGGTGATAAAGCTCAAAAATACCTAAAAAAACAGGCATTCTGACTGTGAGGGGGGTGCCACTCCATAGATCTGACCTGTAACTTGGCCTGGTTTGGTCTCCATAATGATAGAAAGGTTTAATACCGTACTGGAAAATATTTTAGACAAAGCAATTACTAAGTGTGGAGTGAATAAACAATGAACTGTAAAGCGCTTTGGGAGTATTAAAAGACACTATATAAATGCCATGATTAATTTTTAAAAATGCATCTTAAAACCTTTATATTGCTGTGTGTTGTGTGGTGTGTGATGTGTTCTGACCCTCTGGAAGTCGTGCACGATGTCGGCCGGGTCCCTGTCGTCAAACTCTGGCACTGGGACGTTGATGAGCTCCACTTGCTCCTCCTCCAGCACCTGGATCCTCTCCTCAAGCTGCTTCAAACTGAACGGAGCCTCCACTTCCACCTGCACCTGAAGCACACAGACAAAAGGTCAGAACAACACTGAGCTGCACAAAAGAGACAGCAGGTCCGACTGGGAGAAATGCTGAGAAAAGAGTCAAAACTCATTCACAAGAATCTATCATAAGAACTGTATAAGACTCTCCCTCTTTGTCCCCATGGAGATCAACTAGTGGCCGCTCCAGGTACTGCAGCTCTGGCCTAGAAAGACGTCTCCTATAGAGCACAATGCATTTTTTTGTGTTTTCAAACTGCTCATGCTGACAGACTGTCGAAATTTGTAAAAATCTCTATATTCTATCTTCTCTATTTTCGCAACATGACCTTTTAAAAAATTATATATCCTCAAAGCATCTAAAACAGGGATGTCAAACTCAAATTCACAGAGGCCAAAATTAAAAACTGGGACTAAGTCATGGGCCAAACTAAATATTTACAGAAAAAATTTCACCAACATCTGCATGTTTTCTCTTCTTTCAAGATATGTAATGTTAAACCTTTTCTCATTAAAATAAATGTTTAATAACAGTTTTGCTTAAACACTGAATCCAGAACAAGCAAAATATAAAATAATAACAAAATTTTAATTAAATAATGTCTCTATAGCGTATCTGTATATCGCGGGTCAAATTTGGCCCCCAGACCTGAGTATGACTAGTCTGATTCATCAGCAGGTTTCTCTTCGTAGAAACCGTCTAACCTCGCAGTGTTAGAATTCGTTCGCTCGACAGTAGGCAGGTACTTTTTATCATTTAACCAATCACTGCTATTTGGTAGTCATGTACGTAATGCGCCGCTAACAGGGCTATATTATGGTATATTAAGCTTTTCCCAAATCCCGTAGGAAGAAGGACAGTAACGTCTTTCCTCTTGCTGAAATTCACCAAACATTCTCTTTATTCTGTCTTAAAATCCTTGATCTCGGGAATTGTTGATAACACAGAATATATGGCTCTTCACTGATTGGCTGGTGCCTGAACTCACACTTCTGGGGTTTTTGTCAACCGTCTAGTTTATTCTGATTCCTGACCTAGTTGCTGGAGAGAAATGAAACTGAGCAGAGGTACTAGGTGGCGCCAGCCTGGCTAGAGTTTGACATGTCTGGTCTAAAAATTTGCCTAAAAGTCAGCCTAGTTCCACTCTCTCTTCTGATTGGTCAGAACTGATCATGTTTCTCTTGTCCCATTTGGCAGCACTGGACCAGTATTGATCAAAGATATTAAAAGTTAGCAGTCTGTCCTCTTGCATTTATCAGCTATAAGGAGGTGTTCTTACAGATATATGGCATGTGCGACAAATTACTCCCTGAGTCATGTGAAAGTAATGCAGTTTTATTTTTTGATCACAGGCCATTGCAAACAATAAGACATCTATCTTCGGCTTATCTTCATGATCTTTCCATGATTACACAGAACAAAGCAGAACATTTATGTTATTCTGAAGCTGTGTTTTTGGAGACAGTTTTAAGAGATATTGTGGTACCTCATCATCCTCGAGCATCATGAAGTCCTCCTCTCTGTAGTTCACTCCACACCAGAACACCTGGCCCTCCTGCAAGGAATCAGGAGATCCCTAAACACATAATACATTTCGGGCTTGTTTTCTGTTATACAAACATGTAATACAGAAGCTTTCAAGAAAACTCAAATGTCTACACACATTGCATTATTGGTTCACTTCTCACTCGATGGTGCTAAACCACATCCGCTTTTTGGCAGAATGCATATCTGCACCATCAGCTCCTCTGACCATAAAAAATGACTCACAACTACAACTACAACAACAACAACCATTACTACTACTACTACTACTTTATATTTACCTCAGTGATATAGTAGCGGTACAGGTAGGCTCCTCCCACCACGACTCCACTGAGCATGAGAGCCAAGCCCAGGCACATGCACCAGCACCAAGCCCTGGACTGATGTCTGATGGGAACGACGGCCTCTGCATCCTGCAACGCACACAGACACACAGAGAGTCAAGTCAAAAGTTTGGACACACTCACTTTATTTCCATGACTATTTACACTAAACGCAAGACTATGAATGAATGGGATGGAACTGTTCGAGAGAAGAACTCAGAGTAAATGTGAAGACTTTGTGTTTTAATCATGTGTGAATGAAACAAAACACAACTCAGGGTATATTTGATGAGGAGACGACATTATAACATATATCAGAAAACAGTGTCTTCAATGTTAGCTTGAATTGATTTTTGACCTTGCCGGCTCCCATACATTCCAATCCAATACACTTTATTTCTATAGCACATTTCAGAAACAGTTTCCAAAGTGCTGCACAAATACATAATAATAACAACAATAATAAAGTGCTAAAATAAACTACTAAAATAACCATACTAGTCTTAAAATAATAAAACCAGTAAAATAAAACAAGAGCAAAATCACAGAATAGCAATAAATAAATAAAACCAATAAAAATACATAAAAAAAAAAGTGAATGTATAAATTGTGTGAAGGTCCGGTCTCAGGACACTGTTGATGTGAATTGATTTGTGGCAATAAAAGTAAAAAAAAAAAAAAAAACATTAAACAAAAATATATATAAAACAAACACAGAGGACCACACAACTCACACAGTGTTAAAAGCCAGAGAATAAAAGTGGGTCTTAAGACGAGACTTAAAACTCTCCACTGTGGGGGCTGTTTGTACGTGGAGGGGAAGAGCGTTCCAGAGCTTAGGGCCGACCACAGAGAAGGCCCCGTCCCTTCTGGTTTTAAGTCTCGTCTTAGGCACCAAGAGCTGGAGCTGGCCCTCGGACCTCAGAGTGTGCGCGGGGGTATAAATTTGGATGAGGTCCGAGGCGTACTGTGGGGCCAGTCCATTCAAAGCTTTAAAAACAAACAATAAAATCTTAAAATCAATTCTAAAATGAACAGGAAGCTGGTGCAAAGACGCAAGGATTGGGGTAATGTGTTCTTCTCCATACTTTGAATCTGAACAACTGAAAAATGCTTTTATAGTTTGGTGCATTGACAATTTGTTGACACCATGTGATGCAAACATGTTTTTGTCCGTCCCAAGGTTGTTTGACGAATCCATGAATTTCTTGAATAGTCATTAGGGGTGTAACAATATCCAAGTTTCATGACACGATATCGTCACGGTATGAACCTCACAGTACGATATTTATTGCGATATCATGGGAAAGCTCACAATATGGTGGGGAGTCGATTAGGGATGTAACAATATCCAAATCTCTCAGTACGATATTTTCGGTATGATGTTTATTGCGATATTTTGTGGAGGCTAACAAAACTGTTAATATGCTCCTTTTTCCTCTTAAAATGCCTTGACAAAACTTGATCCAAAGAACTAAGACTTAAAAGTGTTAGAAGTGTTATTTCTTCTTGTAGTCTGCACTGAAATGGAGCAAAGGATCATGGTCTATGTAGTTCTCTGCACCATAACTCTTAATTTAAGCAAAGAGACTTGTAATTCGATATACTGTGATAGTCCACCATATTATTGTGAAAACTTTGACGATACGATATCACGATATTTCAGTTATTGTTACATCCTTAATAGTCATTTGACAAAACAGCTAATAACATTGTAAATATTAAGTGTGACTGACACCTTGCTGCTGCTGTTGTTTCTCTCTGGGTTTAAATGTGCATTGCTAAAGAGCTTTCTGGTACTGCTGCTGATGAAGTTTGATTTATTACCTCCGCCAAGGAGGTTATGTTTTTGCCGGCGTTTGTCTGTTTGTCTGTTTGTTTGTTTGTTTGTTTGTCTGTTAGAAACATAACTCAAAAAGTTATGGACCGATTTTGATGAAATTTTCAGGATTTGTTAGAAATGTGAAAAGGAAGAACTGATTTAATTTTGGAGGTGATCCGGAAGAAATCCTGGATTCTGGATTACTTTGAAATTTTAGTTTCACATTGTGGTAAATGGGACCAAAAATTTTGTTTCTCAATATCTCGGTTAATTATTGACCAAACCCCATGACATTTGACTCAGGGATGGACAATGGGATCCTCTTTCATATTCCAAATTGAAAGATACGAGACAAATACTTATGGAAAACACAATTAATATGAGGGGGACTGTAGTCCTTGGCGGAGGTCTGCGCTCTCTGAGTGCTTTTCTAGTTTCCAAATGCATTCACATCTTAACTCAATGGAACCAAAAATCAAAAATGCACCTTCGTATGCACCGACGTATGGTGTGTAGTAAACAAACAAACAAAAAACTCACAATAACTCTCTTGTTTTAGATTTATTTTTTTAAAATAGCTACCCTTTGCTTTGAACCCTGTTTGGCATTTTTGGCATGACCCAGCTGCGAAGTGAATACCATTTCAAGAGTCTTCATCATAAAGGCCAAGGGTTTACAGTGCTGTCAACAACGCAAAGGGTGGATACTTGCAGTTGGATTTGAATATAAAACATAGAATTTGCTTTTGAACAGAACATATTAAAAAAAGTGATTTAACTAGTTTTTCTTTCCTACACAATTCCACATATCTTGCTTCATATATTTCATGTCTTTTGTATGTATCTAAAATGTAGAGAGCAGTAAACAAAAAGAAAAAAAAAACATTGAATGAGAGGGTGTGTCCAAGCTTTTGACTGGTACTGTATGTTGAAGCTTGTTGCAGACTTGTTGATTAATATGCATGGCCCAAATTGAAATAAATCGATGAAATAATATACAATGTTAGGTGTCAAAATTTGGAGAAGAAACATCACAATATTAGAATTATTCATGATTGTTAACACCCGAACCAAACAGCAGTTAAAGAGTAACTGTAGATGGTTTTAGGAGGTTGAATTGACACATTTTTACTTGTAAATTTCTCACACGATAGAGGAAGTTTTGTGTCATTTCTGAAAACCACACCACAAACCACATTTTTCATGCCTTTTACAGTAAGCAAGAAGTACACATTTGCAGCGGTAACTGAACAAATACAAAACCTCTCATTGACTGGGAAGTAAGGGTGGACAATATGCAAGCTCCTGCCTGCTCCTGTCTCTTCCTCTTTGCTCTTCTTTGTTCCACTTTTCTGCTGTCTGCTCCTCTTTTCTGCTGTCTGCTCCTCTTTTCTGCTGTCTGCTCCTCTTTGCTCCTCTTTTCTCCTGTCTGCTCCCCTTTGCTCCTCTTTTCTGCTGTCTGCTCCTCTTTGCTCCTCTTCTCTCCTGTCTGCTCCTCTTTGCCCCTTTCTGCTCCTCTTTTCTGCTGTCTGCTTCTCCCTGCTCCTCTTTTCTGCTGTCTGCTCCTCTTTGCTCCTCTTTTCTCCTGTTTGCTCCCCTTTGCTCCTCTTTTCTGCTGTCTGCTCCTCCTTGCTCCTCTTCTCTCCTGTCTGCTCCTCTTTGCCCCTTTCTGCTCCTCTTTTCTCCTGTCTGCTCCTCTTTTCTGCTGTCTGCTTCTCCCTGCTCCTCTTTTCTGCTGTCTGCTCCTCTTTGCTCCTCTTTTCTCCTGTTTGCTCCCCTTTGCTCCTCTTTTCTGCTGTCTGCTCCTCCTTGCTCCTCTTTTCTCCTGTCTGCTCCTCTTTTCTCCTGTCTGCTCCTCTTTTCTGCTGTCTGCTTCTCCCTGCTCCTCTTTGCTGCTGTCTGCTCCCCTTTGCTCCTCCTTTCTCCTGTCTGCTCCTCTTCTCTCCTGTCTGCTCCTCTTCTCTCCTGTCTGCTCCTCTTCTCTCCTGTCTGCTCCTCTTTGCTCCTTTCTGCTCCTCTTTGCTCCTCTTTGCTTCTCTTTTCTCCTGTCTGCTTCTCTTTTCTCCTGTCTGCTCCCCTTTTCTGCTCTCTGCTCCTCTTTGCTCCTGTCTGCTCCTCTTTTCTGCTGTTTGCTCCCCTTTGCTCCTCCTTTCTCCTGTCTGCTCCTCTTTGCACGTGTCTGCTCCTCTTTGCACCTGCCTGCTCCTGTCTGCTCCTCTTTGCTCCTGCCTGCTCCTCTTTGCTCCTCTTTGATCCTGCCTGCTCCTGTCTGCTCCTCTTTGATCCTGCCTGCTCCTGTCTGCTCAGTTGACTCAGTGGTTTCCATTTGGGACAGAAATAGCCAAAGAGACTCCAGCAGCTGCACTTTAAACCCAGGGCTCTCCCCGGGTTCAGCTCTGAAGTCAGTACAGCCAAAGGTCATGAGAGAATGCAGGCCTGCAACAAGTGAATCCATTAATCACAAATAATCCAATATTGAAATTAGGGAGGAGTGATAAATCGGTACCAGTGTCGGCGCTGACCGATATGATACCGATTCTTTTAAGGGAAGCACACAAACAAACTGGTATATGTACTTCCTCATTCTCTGACTGCTCTTTGTAACAGCTTAACAGGAAAGAATGAAAATAGAATAGAGAGTTAGACATCTGCATCTAACAAATTATTTTACAAACCAGACAAACGCATTCTGTTTTCGATCAAAAACTTCACCCGGTGGTTTCACTTCTGGTTTATTTAGGTAACACTTTGTAAACATCTGATACTCACGGACTTTTGTGTGTTAAAACAAATTGATTAGTTGGAAAATAATCAGCAAAATAAGCTTTATTTGCAGCCTTAGTATAAAATATAATGTTTGTTGATGCAAAAATATCAAAATATCAGTATATTGTATTGTTTAATGTGATGATACAGTATTAATATCAGGAACTGCTGTATCGCTATATTGCCAAGAGTATTTTTTGGTATATTTTTCTAAATTATTTTGTTACAGAGCTACAGTTTTGCTGTTTGTTTAGTGAACGTAAACTTGTTTATGTGACCCACTTGACATTTTCACAGTTTTGATTATTAAAATCTCTGTGTTTCATATAAGCTTTGCACAAGAAGTGGTTGAACAAAGGCTTTTAGTTTCACAGTCATGATTTAGCCTTTACTTTTTATTGAACTGTATCGCATCGATTTGAAATATATTGTATCAATTCAAAAGTACAGTGTATCGAGTTATGTATCATATCGTGTATTGAGGTGTGTATCATATCATGGGT